GACATATCAGCCAGCAGTGCAGCAACAACGTGACAGGGAAGACGGGATGCTTCTTCCGCTTTAATAGAAGACTCGTGACCGTGGCCTACTAGTCATCTTTAAAAAATTTCGTTGTTGTCGAGAATACGTAGACCGGATGACTACTGGAGCGAAGGCTGAGGGAGGAAGGTACGGAGGTGTAGGTAGAAGAACAAGGCAATTAACCTGATACTTCATCAAATATCATGATGATGTATAGTTTATCAACAGAACCACTTGTCGACCGCGGACTGGAAGAAAAAATGACAGATTGTATACGCCGTTGAATATAAACAAAGCACACGTAGTTCATATCCTACGTTCTCATCCACAGATTAGGTGCCTTCAAATACACCTCATTTACAAGCTGACAATGGCATATGATATCGAAGGGTGTTCCGCCAGCAGCCACGTCTCTGTGCAACGTAGTCCCTGTTCGGGCTCCCGTAAGGCGCGCGTGGATCGGCTCCGAAGGATCAAGGTGGGTCTCGGATCCGAGTTTTGAGACGTGCTACGATAGTGTGCCAGGATATGATACTCTGTATTATCGTACAATATTATTAGACTAGGCGAGAGAAATAGGAAGTATTCGGCTAAGCCTAATTGTTTCTAAAGCTGCGATGGATGCCGGCTTTCGGTCCTCATTTCATCACGCTAGCGCCATCAAAGTGAGAGGAGGTTACGCCGCTTCAAGCGACGCGGTGAGAAAGCGTGAATTTAATATTATGTGCAGCATGGCAGGCAAGTTCTGACGGTCCGAGCATGGCAAGAATTCGACCTTCAACATGGCACATGTTGTTTTGCCAAGTGCTGGTAGGAGAGGGCGGCGACGTGCCCCGTTACCGCCGTACTGGTTGTATACCCTAAGAAGCACCCCAATACAACATACTCCGTATGCAAAATAGAATGCCAACAGGACATGACGGCCAACGCAATCTGTGCGACATTTACGTTTGTATTCGGTACCATCCTTTTCGTTTCCGTTTGCTTTGGTATTTCCTCGCCTTTCGGCTGCGTACTTTCTTGTCCCTTTGCCTGCCGCTCGATCCCTGCTCAATATTGAACCCGGCAGGCAAGCAGCACATTTTTCAGGCGAATACGACGCCGCCTGGGTTGTGTCATTGTGATAGTCCATCCTACGACGAAATTGCTACCAGCTGCACGAGCCCCTACGTGGGGGAAACTTATGTCTGAAATCGTCCCGTAAAGGGTACACAATAAATCCGTAGTTGACTGGTAGTTGGCATGCCTGCTCTGAGTATCGTCGGGATCGAGGCTCGGGCCGTTTTACTTCTTCCAGTCCGGCGGATAGACCATGCCTGTTTTTCGTAAAGAAGACCAAGTGTTGGACGCTCTGTAGCCTGATCTGGTGAATGTTGTAAAATACGAATTAAATAACACGTCATATTTCCCTGACGCCATGGCAGAATGGTGGCACCATTTGGCTGCCCATTTGTTTGGTAGAGAGGACACGGCTAGTGTTTGTCTCCTTTGGAATCTAATGTGAGCTAACGCTTTATCTTCTTGGGAAGCGAAACGAGAGCCACGAGAAGGGAACCGAAGGGCAGAAGACATGCTCCGCTGCATCTGTTGCCTCTCACTTTAATGTGTCGTTTCTGAGTTAGTGCTTAGAGCTCAACATTCAGTACAGAGCGTGCTGAAAACTGGACCAATGCTGGGTGATTAGAAACCATCACGTCGACAAGCTCCCGGAGTTGTCTGGCAGGGACGACAATGCTCGGTTCTTACAAACCAAGAAAAGAAAAAAAAAATATTGGCTGGCATTGGCCAAGCCATCCGTAGTCGCCTGAAACTCTCATTTGATTGGTCTTTTGCGCCCTCCTTGTTCTTTCAAGCGACGACCTTCCGGCGTGCCCTTGTCGAGGTGACTTCGAATGCATGTCGTACTCCGTGCGTTGTAATCCGCAGCAGGTCACATTTTAGCAAGACTGCCCATGCTATGAAGTTTGTATGGGGCTCGTTTGATTAGTGCAAACCTCATGTCGACATATGTTGCTATTGGACATTCTCCGTCCAATGTCCTCGCAATGCGCTCCAACTGTAATTCGTACCAGTCCGACCCATCGTCTGCCGCCTGAGCCAACCCCACGCGGCGGACCAATGCACGGACACACACCAATAAAGGCAGGGAACAAGGGTAACAAGTGCATCAGGCAATCAATACAACCTTCAGCTCCTTGCAAGATTGGCATATGCGGCCGATGCCTCCCGTCCGCCTCTTCCCATTTCAAATGCAGGCGTCAAGCCCCGTCGTTTTGGTATGCCTTTGGCCAAGGAAACAATGGATCAACCAACATATGAAGAAAGTTCCAGTGAAGCGAGAACAATGGAGCATATTAGACCAATTGGCGCTCTGCACTCCAATGCGCGCATGTGTGTATGTGTGTGCGTGAGAGAGAGAATGCGAGTGCACCCCCATTCATGGTACAACCATACGACGCTATTCCCTACCCCCACTCCGTTGGCTTCCCTTGATAGATAAAAGAAATAAAAAGGAAAGCCGAACGGAAAAATCACCTTGTCACCCCTCTTCTGCTAGACAGACAAAAGAGAGCTTTAACAATTAGAGGAAAGAAAAATAAGCCGAGACAAAGAGAAAGAGAGCGTGTGTGTGACGACGCATTAGAAAATGACGATGCCTCTTCTCTGACTCAATCCTTACCACCAGCCATCCGCGATTCGACGCTCGCTGTTGTGGATCGTTTGAATGGGCGAAATAGAAGGAGAAAAGAGGCGTATGACCCACTGTGCGTGGTGACTGTTTGTTTTGGCCGACTACGAATTACTAGGAGCCAAATTTTCGATGCCCCCCTTGTGTCTCCTTTTCCAACTTTCCACCCTTCTCGTCAGGTCTTTTTCCCTATCCAGGCAATTCCGTTGCCCACCCACACACACATTTCATCCTCGCATTGGGGGGGATACATGGTTCAGCTACGTCGTACGAATTGGAACATTGGCGTATCTGTCTCTCCTTTACGGAGTACTTTTGTACTTTTGTCTTGACGTTTTGTCGTCGGACCGCCTGGCTTCGTCTCCACCTCGCCCGTGCTTCTCCGAGGCGGCCCAGAGCTCTCGGGGCCGACCCCCTTTCTTTTCTTATTGGATCCCAAATTGATCGACAGTGCAAGGCAAAGTTTAGGCTTAGCAGCCTGTATCGATGGGGTCCACAAGGGCACGCATGGCAAAGAAAAGTTGAGACCGATCCATGCCATGTTGTAGTCTCACTTTTTCGTGTTGCACAACAGCTGGCAGCTTTCCCACGCTGGGAGGATGAGCGAAGAGATGCACAGCTGGTTTTGCGCAAAACGAAGAGCGCATGGGAAGCAAGTCTGTGAGGATGAGGGAAACGGCGACTTGGCAGTGGGTAGCATCCGTGCGTGGGTGGGTTTCTGGTCGTCGAAAAGGGCGCGGGTTTGCACTACTAAACGCACAAAAGTACGGTAGCGACGGGGCCTCCCACACCACTTCTCACGGAGATGACGATACGGACGCAGTCGCACTTTTGTCGTCTTAACAGACAGGAAACGAAAAGAGACAGAGGACAGCTGCTCAAATCCGACCGGCCGACTAAAAACAACGAAAAACAACGAATAGCAATTGACACCGTCTGGAAAAGTGGCCCTTTGGTGCCGTTCGTAAACGATGGCCAGAAAAAGACGAAAAGAAGTTTTCTTCTTCTTCTTTTTTCTGACGTTTCCCCGCTTCCTATTGCCTGGCTTCGCCTTTCGTTTTTGTTTGTCCATTTTCAATTCTCCCTTCACAGAGGTGGCCTAGCTCAAGGGAGAAGGGTCGACGAGGGGCGTCGCTCTTGAAATCATTTTAAGCTGCAGTTCGTCGTTGTCCAAGGGCCAGCCTAATTCGCAAAGTATCTTTCGATTGTTGGCCCAACGTCAAATTTCCTTAAATTTCCTTTTCTCCTGTCTTCGTTTCGTACATTGAATACCATGTCGTCGAAAGTCAAACGTGTAAACTGTTGAGTGAGGGAGAAGATACGACGACGAAGCTGGCGGCTGTAAAAGTCTGAGCCGTCCTCTTTTTTCGTCTTTGTCTTGATGGTTGTCGACAACCGACGCTGCGTGCAGTTAACCAGTAACAAGGCCCGGTCATCGAGGACGGGTCAGGAAAAGAATAATTGAAAGAAAAAAAGAAAGTTCGATTGAGCTGACCGTGCCACGAGCAAGAGCCATACCCGTCTGGGAGCTTTTGAGTCGCGTCGGCAGCGACTGCCAAGACTGAGCTGTTCGCTGTCGAAAACTTGCATGCGCGTACATGTCCTTCCGTCCATTTTCCTAAAAGAGAGAAACAGGCTGACGCCAGGGTCACATCCTAGCTGCTGAACAGGGGCCAATGGACCAACCGGGGGACGACGGCACCCCCAAGCCCGCAGGTCGGTCGAGAACTTGTAAAGCGACAATGGTTTCCTGCGTTGTCGTTCTTGTATCCTTTTTGTACTGACAAGTCGGGCGAGCAGAGTATAAGGAATCATTTGACCCCCAGCATCTCAGCGGAGCACAAAAGCAGCACCTTGTCTCACGCGTTGCTTTCCCCATTACGCCCTCTTTCCCCTTCTCTCCTTTCCATTTTCCAAGCTCAATCGCCCTTCGCACAGAAAGACAATCACAACTTGCAAAGAAGGAGCCGGAAACCAGTTTGCGGGATTGACAGAATCGCAAAACGAGGCATCGGTTGCACGTGACGCCCGTCCGTCGTCCGAAACTAAGTGCGACGCCATCTTAAAAAGGGCGCGATAATTATTGTACCGGCGCTAGCCAGCAACCAGCACCAAAACCCGCACCTTCGGCTCATTTCGTCGAGGCACAAGTCTTCTGCGCCTGGCCTCGCAATTGAATCAGCACTCGGAGTCCGAATCGCCGTTTCCCATCGACAGTCCACACCTGCGCGAAGAGTGGAAGACTTGAAGCTGTCGAAGCAGATACGCAGACAACGAAAATACAGCGGATATGTCGTCATCGGACAGAGATACCTCGGGGAAGGACGGCTTCAACGGTGACGTCGAAAAGCAGTCGCCCCTCGAGAACCATAGCCCGGCCGACGAGCATGACAGCCACCAGCGCAGCGGCACCGGTGGCCGGGGCGTGTTCGGGCACATCCTGTCGGTCAAGGACGGCGAGGTGTACAACCCAAACTCTGAGAAGTCGTCGACATGGTATCAGCGGTTGGTCGACGCCGGTTTCGAGGACAACGGCATCAAGCCCGTTCCACTCGAAGCCCGCACGAACACCCAGTACAGCAACCTCTTCACCATTTTCTTCACCAGCATGCTGAGTCTTTTGCCGTAAGTTGCTGTCCTGTTTCCCTGGCCATTCGGTCCGGTCGGTCTTGGAGTCGTCGCTAATTCGTTTCGCAGTCTCCCAACTGGTATCCTCGGCACGCTCACTTTTGGCCTGAGCCTCCGTGACACGTCTCTCATCATTCTCTTCTTTGCCATCTTGACCATCATCCCGCCTGCTTTCCTGGGAGTTGGCGGCTCTCAGACTGGCCTACGCCAGCAGATCCAGGCTCGCTATTCGTTCGGGTACGTTCGTGCGCGGATCGAAGACGTCGCAGTGCAGACTCCGTTAACTAACCATGCTCCGATAACACAGCTTATACATTTCCCTTATCCCGTTGCTCCTCAATGCGGCCACTGTGACGGGTTTCACCCTGATCTCGGCTGTTGTTGGTGGCCAAACCATCTCCGCGCTGAACCCGGACCATGTTAGTGTCAATGTCGGTATCGTGATAGTTTGTCTCGTGAGTCTGCTCGTGTCGTTCATGGGCTATCGGACCCTGCACTTCATTGAGCGCTGGACGTGGATTCCCAACATCATCGGTATTCTCGTTGCTGTTGGTTGCGGTGGCAAATACCTCCATCTGCAGTCTGAGACAGAGCCGGCTACGGCCTATAACGTGCTTTCGTATGCGGGCATCATCGCAGGCTACTTCATTACCTTCAGTGGCACTGCGTCCGACTATTCGACATACCACAACCCGTCTGCTTCAAAGTATGTATTTCCATGTCGTGTTGCGCTTGATAAGAGGGGTGTCGGATGGGATATGCTAACCAATGTCGTTTCGCTTCGTAGGCTGAAAATCTTCTGCTGTATGTATTTTGGTATTCTGCTGCCGTCAGTCACACTTTTGATTCTCGGTGCTGCCATTGGCGGTGCTGTGCCGAATGTGCCGTCGTGGAATGCCGCATACGAGGTGTCCAACGTCGGTGGTGTCATCTACGAGATGCTCACGCCGGCCAAGGGTTTCGGCAAGTTCCTCGTGGTTGTTCTTGCCCTCAGCGGTGTCGGGAATATTGCCATCTCGTCGTACTCGGTGTCGCTGAACCTGCAGATGCTGCTGCCCTTCTTTGCGCGTATCCACCGCATCGTCTTTGTTTTCATCACCCTAGCCATCATGATCCCGTTTGCCATCAAGGCTGCAGAGAAGTGGGAAGAGAGTCTGACAAACTTCTTGGCCATCATCGGTTACTGGGCCGGCTGTTTCGCTGCGGTGTTGATCGAAGAGCTTGTTGTGTTCCGCAAGATGGACTACTCGACGTATGACCATGCAATCTGGAACGTGGGCAAAAAGCTGCCGACGGGACTGGCTGCACTTGGAGCGTCGATTTTGTCGTTTGGTCTCGTTGTTCCAGGCATGGCCGAGGTCTGGTACACTGGCCCAATTGCTGAGCACACGGGCGACATTGGTTTCGAGGTTGCGTTCGCCGTGACCGCTCTCTGCTACCTGCCTCTTCGCTGGCTGGAGATCCGGTGGCGGGGTCATTTGTGATTGGACTGCTCGTCACAATCATTTCCGGTTGTCGGGCTGAGTAGATCAGAGAAGAGGAGGTAGAGAGACTGGTGGATTAGATGATGTCGACAGGTGCACGCTTTGTGCATGCTGGATAATCTGATGGTCAAAAAATTGACCGAACGATCTGATAAATGTATTGCTATTTTCCGGCTTCATTCGAACCAAGAATATGAGACTTTCTTTAACGAAGGGGCTTCGACATTTTTGACATTCGCCAAATGGGTGGCCTTTGTCTGTTCGTCTTCCTAACGTGCTTCGACAGAGTTCAGCTGAGTAGCCTGCCACACAATACAACGTCGTCGCCCAGCGGCTGCCATTTGACATCCGAGAGCCGTGCCGCAGCCGTTGCTTGATGGTTAGAATCGTAGACCCGGTCGGGCGACACGACCACGCCGCCGCGACCCAGCCACGTCGGGGCGATGGTGACAATGACAGAATCGACGAGGTGGCTGTTGTGCGGGGCCAGCAGGTCGTTGATGATGCTCCCTCCACCTTCGATCATGACGCTATCAAGGCCGTTGCTGGCGATGCTGGCAAGCACATCGCCCCAGCGGAAACGGGGTGAGCTCTCCTCGTCGCCCTCGGTTCCAAGAACAATGTACTTGCCACCGTGGGCTTCGAGAAGAGCGCTCTTGATAACGTCTGGTTTTCGGACAGCCGTCACGATAAAGGGAGCCAGTCCGAGGCCGCGACGCTGCGTGGCCAGCACCCGGCTATCGTGCGTAAGCGGCCAGCGGTCGTGGGGATCAATGACAATCGGCCGTGGCTGATGGGGCGAGACAGTGGCCCCCGTGTCGTGATCGGCAATGCGGCAGTTGAGACCGGGGTCGTCGGCCACGGCGGTGCCCACGCCAACGAGAATTGCGTCATGGCGGCTTCGCAGATAATGTGTCATGGCCTTGGACTGGGGCCCAGACAGCGCGGTACGCACTCCGGGCGCGAGTGCCAGGGACGAGTCGAGCGACGTGGCAAAAGTCAGTGTGACAAATGGACGTGAACGGTCCACTGGTGACGAGACGGCAGATTGGCGAGGCGGGAGATAGGACTCCAGTTTGGCCCCATCCTCTGCGGGAAAGTGAAGCAGCTCTGCCATGGTGTGACGAGATGCTGATTGAGGGAGGAAAGGGCGGGGACAGTGTGCTGTGTGTGTCGTATTTGGTGAAAGAGCAATGATTGCGTGAGAGACGTAGAGCAATGAACAGGCGAGGCACGACAAAATATAAACAGGCCCCGAGAGAAATTTGACTGTTTTTGTCTGTCTCAGGCAGGATATTGTGCGTCGCGTTAATAGCCGACGGCAAAAGGAAAGAGGCCAAGGGGGGCAACCTGTTGGTTGCTCTTGCTGTTTTTGTCTGCAGCTCCGTAATGGGAAGGAAGGAGCACCCGAGCCTCCGTCAACTGCAGGTCACAGCAGCTCTCACAGACTGCATCTGCCAGTTTGTTTGGCACAGGAGGCGAGCGTATGTGAGGGTGAAAAGAAAGCGAAAGTTCGAGTCAAGCAGGACGTCTTCTCTGGTGCAGAGGATACTTGGGCCGCTTACACCGAACGGCTGTACTTTCCCAGGCGAACGAGGGGAGGAAAGGAGAAGTGAAGTAGGAGCGAAGGTGGGAATAGAAATATAAAGAGTAAAACTCATATATATAGCGAGTGTACGGAGTACACAGTCGTGAAAAGGGTCTTCTGTTCCGGACACGAGAGGGCAAAGAAGTAATTGGGCGAAGATTGGAATGAAGTGTGGGAAACGAGAGAGGAAAGAAGCTCGCAAAACAGGCACGAAGCGGATCTCCAAAATTGCCTGCCGGGAACTTTAGCGCGCAAAGTTACGGCGCGCATGTCCAGCGAATTAGCGGCACAGTATGGTCACAATTACTCTGTGGACCGAGCTTTACAAGCAGCTTTGGCGATTAGAACACCGCAGTTTGGGAAGTCTTCTAGGTGAAGCGAGGACGCCCACTTGCCATCGCAATGATGTTGAGGGAGCCGAGAGTTGCGGCGAGGAAAGATGGGAGATGATGGATGAGGCAATTCACAGCACACAAGCGACTAACGAACTAGGACGTGGGCCTCTTGTGTATTTCTCGTCCTATCGTTACTTACGGGCAGACAGATTGGGGAGGGATAGACCAACAGCGTCTATTGTTGCCATCCTACCTGACTTTGCATCTAACCTCGTATTCATAGTAAGCGAGATGCAGACTTGACCTTCATTTTAATTCACGATTCGTCCGTAATTCGAGGCCTGAGCCGTTTACTCGGGTGGAAGAAGCGCTCAGTTTGTCCGCTACGTTAGGGTTACAGCTTTTGATGGTTGGACAGGACACACGCATGGATCGACAAGCGAGCCGGGGAAGGGACAGCGACCAGACGGACGGTAATTACTGGTTGCCGGCCGGCAATCTTCAACGGAGCAAAGTAGAACATTGAGCAAAAGGCGAACGCAGTAGTGGACACAACGTGAAGTATCACGTGCGAAGCTGCGCAGACCTCTATTTCGCTGCCTGTAAGAGTATTACTGCGTAAAGCAGTCGACCGAAATGGCGGCTTAGATCACGCCTCGCACAACTTTCTTTGTTGCCATTTTCCCACTGGAAGCTCTTGCATCAAATTACGCGTATGGCGACGAGTATGTCGTACTTTGACCGGAAAACGAGTGGCTCTTCACGCTTTCCAGCTTCCAAGTCGAGGCTCCGACACGCTTCGCCACAGACCGGAAGTCGGCCACGGCAATTTGTATGTGGACAAATGCTGATGCCTGGCCAGGCTATGAGCACGACTGGCCCGACTATCAAACGACTGAGACGTAATCGGTTTGGGCGGAATGTGTCTGACCTGGATTACGCGGCACTCTTGCTGTTGGGTGACGGTGTGGCCCCGTTGTGCTGTCTCGAACAATTGTGTCTTTTTCGTACAAAGCTTTACCTCGCAGTCTCTTCCTTGAACTGTTTTGCTTTTGTTTGGCACTTGCGCTTGTGCCTGACTCAGAACCCTCGCTGCTTTGATTATTGGCAGCCTGTAACAATTAACAATGAACAGAGCCTTCCTTTTGAAAAACACGGCTGTACTATCTCCTCGCTCCTGCTGTTGGGGCTATAACAGATGTCAAACACGGGGATACGGATGAGTATGTAGGACCTAATGCCCCTGGCGGACGAATCTGGCTCGTCGCTCCTGTCTCTCTTGTTGTATTGCAAGGTGATATTCACGATGCTCTACGCGTGACACAGCCACTATCAGCATGCCGGGCACAGCGGTTGTGGAGGCCTGTTTAACGTCGTTTAGCTGGGAAGTCGGGTCAATGAAGTGTTCCCGACGGCGAACTTGGGACCGGTCGGCTGACCTGAGCCAGGTCAGATTCCAATGTCTGGAGTAACACGCTACCGTATTTGGAAGCTTTTGGCCACCGGCTAGTGTTCGTGTTCACTGACCACCCCCAAGACGCCCCAAATTGGCCCTGCAGCCGGACACCTAAACCGTCACAGAAAGTGTAGAAAGAGGCTTCACTAGCCACAGCGCCCAGAACGCCCAGAAATTATGGTAAGAACCATCCCCAGTCGCGCCTTCCGGCCAAGCCTCCAGGACGGACGCAACAGGTGCATTATTACTCCCAAGCGATCTTCCCTTTTCCGTCCGTCTTGTCTCTGATTTCGATTTTCTCTCCTACTCTTACTCCTTCTTTTCTTCTTCTTTCATTTACTGGCTCCCTTGAACCCAAAGCAACCGCAAAATCGCATTCCGCGTCGCTTCGCATCCGTCGCATCGCATTCGCATCCCACCGCGTCAGTCCATCGAATCGCGCGCGCCCACTGTTCAAAGCCGAAATCCAAGCCCTTGCTCCTCTAAAACCACAAAGCGCATAGCGCAACTCCGACCACTGCCAAATTACCACGAACGCTATCCTACTCTGTATTACTCCATACGTCGTACAACAACGCAATGGCCAAACCGGAAAACCCGCCCGCCTACCCCGGTTCACCCCAGCCGCCCCAAGCCGCCTACTACGGCAATTCCGGCAGTGGCAGCGGCGGTTACAATAACTACAACACGCCGTACCAGCAGGGCCCCCCGATGAACTACAACAACCAGCAGCAAGGACACGGACCCTACGGCGGCCAGCCCCAGTACGGTGGACAACCGCCCTATGGCCAGCAACCGTATGGTGGCCAGCCTCCGTATGGCCAACAGCCGTACGGCCAACCCCCGGCCGGCTACTACCAGCAGGGCGGGTATCCGCAGCAGCAGCAGCAGCAGCGGTCGTCGAGCGACGGCTGTCTGACAGCACTTTTGGGCACGGCGGCCTGCTGCTGCTGCCTGGATTGTCTGCTGTTCTAAGAGCTTGTCGGCTGTGTGAAGAGGTGTGCAAATATGGGCGGGCAAACCCGATCGTGAGGTGCCTGGTGAGGCTGGAGAGACGAAACGATCTGACAGTCGGCGTTCTGGTTGTCTGCATTTGCTTAATTTCCGGTCACATTAAATTTTGTGAAAATCCGTCTCTTCCGAGAGACGCTATATATATCCAAAGAAAGGATCCGGTTTTGGAGGGGTGTTGTGTTTTCACGGCTTTCTATGTCTCCTGTTGTTCTTCGGATTTGTTTCCACGTTATGCAATAGTCTTTGCCGTCGTTGCTCTATTTGCTGCAGCTACAAAATTAATCAATATTTTTTTCGCCATTCTACACCACCGTCGCATACAGCTTGTCAAACTCCTCGTTCGTTTCGGCCACGCAGTCGTACGAGTAAATCATCTTTTGCACGTCCGGCGATGCCCACTTATCTGGGATCGCCTTCTTGCCGTCGGCGCGGTGTGCCGCAAACTGCCGGTCGCGCTCCTCGCGGGCCGCGCCCTCGCCGAGGTGCAGCGCCCGGCCCGAGTGGTACGCCATGTCCACAAGCATCGATGTGCGCTCCTTGCGGAGGAGTTCATATGTCTTCAGGCAGCGGCGGATGCGGCTGCTTGTGTCGGTGTCCGTATCGCCGACCTGCACCCGGCTCAACACCTCCGCCAACACCGCCCCGTCCTCAATGGCCATGGCCGCTCCCTGGCTCAAGTGTGGCAGCGTCGGATGGCATGCGTCCCCCAGCAGCGCAACCGACCCGTGCACCCACATCGGCAGCTCCCGGTGCTGCCGCAGCCGCCACTCACACACCTCGCCCTCGGGCACCATGTTGAGCATCCGCTGCACGAGAGGGCAGAAATCCGCAAAGACGTGGAGCATTGCGCTCTTGGAGCCGCGCGTTGTGTAGGTTGCCGACGGTGCCGCCGCAAAGTTCACGTCGGGCTGCGCGCTCGACAGGTTGTACACTGTCTTACCGGCCACCGGGTACGCAATAATGTGCCGGCGCTCGCCGATCCAGCGCACGACGCAGTCGCTGTCCAGGAGCTGCATCATCTCGGCGTCGCCGGCCGCTTCCATTTGGTCGCGCGTTAGCATAATGCGGTACGACGCCTGGCCCGTGTCGGCCTCTTCGGTCGACAAGCCCAGAATGCTCAGCATGGTGTCGCGCGTAAGCGATTTGATGCCGTCGGCGCCGAGCAGGACGTCGACCTCGAGGGACGTGGGGGGCGCATCTTCTGCTACTTCGTTCTGGGTGGTATCCGATCCATTGGCACCGTTGGCACCGCTTGCGCCGCTTGCATCGTTCGCTCTGCTCGAGACCTTTGGCGACCGCTTCTGCAACCGAAGAATGGGGCGCGGCTCAAACTGGTCAATGCCGATGAGGGCTGTCGAAAAGTGAAACTCGATCGCTGGCTCGGCCAAGCACGCCTTATACATGCCGCCTGCCAGTGACGACCGGTGACCCGTGCAGTGTGGGTACTCGTACAGCGCACGAATGCCGCTCATGTCAACATGGGCAAGCTCCTTGTCCGTGCTGCCCTGCCGGATGCTGGTTTCTTGCACGTTGGTCGCCTCCTTTTCAATGTCGGCCCAGCAGCCCAGACGGTCGAGAATGCGGGCCATGTTGGGGGCCATTTGGATGCCGGCGCCGACAAACCCCAGGTCGGCGGCCGATTCATAGACGGCAATGTGCTTGAAGCCCTTCTTGGCGAGTGACAGGGCGCAGCCGAGGCCGCCCATGCCGGCGCCAATGATGGCGATCCGCAAGTCGTAGGGAGAGGCCATTGCAATGCTAAAGGACGCTGTGTTTGTGCAAGTTGAAGGAAAACGGGAGTGACAAAGTAGACGGTGGCACGGTACAACAGGGTCGGTGACAGACGCGAAAACCCAATATTAACAGCATAGATTGACAAGAATAAGAATAAGACGGCAAATATACCCGGGTTCACTTGTCCACGTTGTAAGCTAATCTTGAAAATACAAATAGTAACCTGTTCTTCAACGATGCAGTGTAAAGGCTGGTCAGACAACGACCGAGACTGAAGTCATCGCATATATGTATACCGATGCCTCCGCTCTACACACTCTCCAATGCCAAGATCGGGCCCCTCTGGCTCACTTTCCAGGGTGATTCCCGGTGTCCATTGAGGATGGGTTAGACAACTCGTGTATTCTCCCGATGGTGGGGACATGGGGGCCGTGGGACCAAGCCACTTTGCTATTCAAGAGCCGACGCTGTCCCCCAATTTCCAGGCGTTCACGGGATAAAAGCCGGCACCTGTTAGGATGGAAGCGTCGACTAAAGGGACGTGTAAGTGATCCTTCACAGTGCGGGGGTGAGAATATGGGGCCTCCTTAGAGCAGCACTATGCAGAGTTCCTCCACTCGAACCCGTCACAACGGGAATGATTTCTAGCTTGGGAGAAACAATTTCGCCGCACATAAAAGCCGTGGCGCCTAGCACTTCCGATGTGGGCGGTGTTTCGTATGGAAAGCTGTCCAGTTGCACACACGCCACGCGCCACGCCTTTGTCTTTTTGTTTTGTACATGAATCTAATAGTGCCTACAGAACGTACCACATAGTACGAAGACAACAAGCCGACAGAAAACTTTCTGTTACTTCGTGTGGCCGGATATGTCACGTGATTGACTCTGTGAGGCGCGAATGAGCAAGATATCATGATATTGTGTCCCCGCCAGGATGTTCGGTTCACCAGCTAGAGGCGTATCTGGATGCCGCAGATCAGACTGCAGTACCTGATCTCACTGGTTTGCAACTTGGAAGCTCTTCCACCGAAAAGGACCTGCCTCACCTAACTCGCTCCATACATATTTGTGCAACCAACATTCAGTGTACAAAATATAAACAGCTACACTTGAGTCGTACGACGTGGCGTGCACGATATCGGCCGGCTGTTGATTCCGAGCGCAGGATGGCGACCACTGAGACACCTTGAGCCAATATCGGCACTATCCTCTCTGCATAGGACAGTCTTTTATACGAGTGAAGTTCACGCCGCCGTTGTTGCACTACAGCTCTAATTTCTGAACACATTCTGCCGTATTTAGCGAGAAGTGTCTCAGGACATATTAAAAGAGGTCTTCGATATCTGTCAAGAGCACAGGAAAAAAAAAACAAGACGAAAACAAATGGCGGATGACGATCGTCAAACTCACAGCCAAAATTTGGCGCAACCCTCCTAGGTGGGTGGCAATCCTCCACTGAGTCTCCACTCCGGAGCCCTGACGTTATTGCCAATGGGCGAGCCAAAGACCTGGCCAAGACCTGTAATTTTGCCCCCTCCAGAGGCCTCGGCGCCTTCACAGACTTGCCCCTGTCCGCTAAATCTACAGTACAGGCTAAGCCCCTGGGTCCCAGGGCCCCTATCCTACTGGACGCCCCTGGCAGTAAATCGGGCGCTGGCGCTAACGGCAGCCGCCAACCACATAAACGACGTCACTGGCCCGCAAGCCAATCACATGCTGCCATTCGCACTTCATTCTGGATCAAACCAGGTTTTTGGTTTCAGCTGCCTTTCAGGACAGCGAACGAAAAAGCAAGACTCATGGGACACCTCAAACAAGGCCGTTATGCAGGGAGAGGGGCTGAGGGCGGCATACAGCGATCAGAGAGTCTAGGCCTGTCGTCTCGTTTTTTATTTATTTTCCGATGCTCTTCCAAAAAAAAAAAAAAGACGACACAACAGGATACGACATACCGTCGTCCCTATTTGGAAAGTGGCCTCTCCTGAGCACAAAAAAGCATGTTTACCCTTAGCGGCGGCAAGAGCAACCCACATCGCCGATGAACGACTCCATTCATTTTACCCAAAGTAGAAAGGACGGGCCAAAAGGTTTCTTGCGCGCGCATCAGGAAAGAAGCACACCTCGTCGTAGAGCGTACTTGCCCTGCGATCTGTGACGTTAATGGCGGGCCTCTTGGCGCGGTTTCGTCTCATTGGTTTCTGCCTTTTCTGCTTTGCCTTTTCCCAAAACAAAAGTTGCTCTCCTCTTTTGTCCTCTTCTGCTCTTCTGCTCCTCTGCTTTTCTTCTCCTCTCTCACCTCAAAACTCAATTCGCTTTTCCTTCGCCTGGTCGCATTTTGCGCAGATCCTTTGCGTTACCTTTCATCTTGTGTTTGCATTTCTACAATTCATTGTTTCTAGCATAGCATTATACCCCCTTTTCTTTTGTTGGCTGTTTGTTTGATACCTAAGGCGCAGACGATCACGACCCGATTTATGACACCTCAACTATCTTGATCCTACGATATTTCGTACATACGACGAAAACATCCTATCTTCTGGAACCCTCTACGAGTACCTCTTCACAGCATCTGACAGCCGCGTCACCAAGCCACTTCTGTCCACTACAAAAACCTTTTCCTCTCATAGAGGAGAGTACAGAGCAACCCGCAATCACGTCAGACTCATTGTCACAAATCCAAAGCTTCCATGGCCATTCCGTGTCAGAAATAGCCTACCTACAGCCTGCGGTGCTTCCACCCCCGATAGTCAGTGACTTTCGCTACCTATTTCTGTCCGACTTCGCCTATTGACGTCGCACGAGTTTCGGCAGGATCAGGATCTTCATTCACAGCAACTGCCCTCTTCTCTCGTCTTTCTTCCTCTTCTGTCCGTCTCCATTCCTAACTGCTTGACGCAACCACCAATATGTCGAGCAATGATGGCGACAGTGGCACCGCCCAGACGTCCGCTGGCATCAGCATTGTCGCCTTCTTCACGGCGTTGGCCTCGTCGCTGGTCATTTTCGGCGTTCAGATGGGCTTTTTCTTGCTCTTGAGAAATAAGCTGGCCCGCATTTTGTAAGTAGCCTCACCTTATTGCAGTCCTGTTGACACTGCTCCTGAATGACCCTGGTCTGACATCGTGACAGCAAACCAAAAACATTCATGGTCCCCGAACGCGAGCGGACAGAACCACCGCCTGCGAGTCCTTGGGGCCTTGTCATGGCCCTGTACCGCATACGTGACCGGGAAATCATCAAAAAGTGCGGACTCGACGCCTACTTCTTCCTCCGTTACCTACAAACCCTACTCATTATCTTCGTTCCCATTGCATGCATCGTCATCCCCATTCTCGTGCCTATCAACTATGTCGGTGGCATTGGTCAGTCCTTTGGCAGTAACAATACCAACTCCTCGGACCCATCCATCCCGGCCGGTCTAGACACCATTGCTTGGGGCAACATCAAACCGGTGAACGCTAACCGCCGCTGGGCTCACCTGATTATTGCCGTTCTGGTCGTGGGCTGGGTCTGTTTTATCGCCTACAACGAGCTGCGCATCTATATAAAGATCCGCCAGGACTACCTCACCAGCGCCGAGCACCGTCTGCGTGCCTCCGCCAACACGGTCCTGGTTTCGGGTATCCCCACTAAATGGCTGACCGACCATGCCCTCCGCGGGCTGTTTGATGTGTTCCCCGGCGGTATTAGGAATATCTGGTTAACGCGGGACTACACCAAACTGCTTGACAAAATCAACAAGCGCGACGACATCCACAAGCGCCTTGAGTCTGCTGAGAGCGAGCTGATTCGCAAATCCAAGAAAAATCAGCTCAAGAAACGCAAGAAGGAGGAAAAGGCCGAACGCAAGGCTAAACACGAAACCAAGGCTGAGCGAGCCCAGCGTGAGCACGATGAGGACATCCGCGCCAAGCGCATGGCCGAGGGCGAGGGAGGTGTCAGCAGCGGCGACCAGGATGTGCCTCAGATCGATGGCGTTGGCGACGATAGCAAACGCAACAGCTCCGAAAACGACGACGCTGACAACCTGCAGCGCGAGCAATCCAATAGCTCCAAGGTGCCTATTATCGGGGGCGGCCTGGCCAAGGTCGGCCAAGGCCTCAAGGGTGGTTTCGGAAAGGCCGGCCGGGATATCGTTGGTGGCGCCAAAAACTTCCAGCAAGGCATTGACAACCAACTCGAGCGAACCGGTGGCTTTGAGTTTGTCGGCGAAAGTACCAAGGAGACCGACGTGCCGGGTGGACCGTCCTCTCTCCCAGGGACTCGTACCGAGGGTGAAGCGAACCGCGATCAAAGTTCCCGATACGGTAGCCGTGCTGTCCACAGAACACGGCCGTCTGATGCTTCAGCCGAGCCTGATACTCCCGGCCAGGCCCAGGACCCGCGGCCGTCGGATGTGTCTCTCATCCACAACCGCACCATGGACTCTCGTACGTACGGCAACACCACGCGCAAGGTGACCGACTGGGACAATGCGGTCGCCACCGAAAACAGCAAGTGGTGGCAGTTTTGGAAGCCACCCAGCGGTGCCTACGCCTCGCCCATCCCACAAGGCAGCGAAGGCGATGAGTTTCCATTTGACACGGATGGCAAGGGCAACGGCACGACAGGCGAAAAGAAGAGCAAATCCAAGTGGGCCAAGATCAAGGCCCAGATGCCCTTCTTTGGTGGCGACGAGATACCTGCCGAGTATCCCGCGCCCGAGAACCCTGCTTACCCCGGCGACGACGCGGAAGACTCAAACGCCGAGTGGACGAAATGGCTCAAAAAGTCCGATCGCCCGACACATCGCTTGCCCCTGTTTGAATGGACCCCCGGATGGCTGCCCGGTCTGCCTCTAATCCACAAAAAGGTCGACTCCATTTACTTTTATCGGAAGGAATTGGCGCGCCTCAACATGGAGATTGAGAAGGACCAGCACGAGCACGAGCGCTACCCGAAGATGAACTCGGCGTTTATCCAATTCAACAACCAGGTCGCTGCGCACATGGCTTGCCAAAGCGTCACCCACCACGTTCCCAAACACATGTCGCCCCGCGTTGTCGAGGTCTCGCCCAGCGACGTCATCTGGGACAACATGGCCATCCGCTGGTGGGACGAGTGGTTGCGTACGTTTATTGTCATCGGTATTGTCTTTGGTATGACCATTCTGTGGGCGTTCCCCGTCGCCTTCACTTCCTCGCTGTCCCAGATCGACTCGCTGGTCAAGAGGTACTCCTGGTTGAGCTTTATCGATAACAACGCAGTGACCTACAATGTCGCCAAAGCTGTTGCGGGTGTGCTGCCAGCCCTGCTACTATCGCTTCTTCTTGCCTTTGTGCCCATCCTTCTCGAATTTTTGGCCAAGTTCCAAGGCGCCAAGACGGGATCCCAAAAGGCCGAGTATGTTCAGATGTATTACTTTTTCTTCCTCTTCGTACAGGTGTTCTTGGTTGTCTCCATCGCGAGTGGTGCCATTGCTACGCTCCAAGACACCGTGACCAACATCCAGGGCATACCCGAGACGCTCGCCAAGAATCTGCCCAAAGCCGCCAACTACTTTTTCAGCTACATGATTCTGCAGGCAATGTCGACCAGCTCGGGTACGCTGCTCCAGATCGGCGTGCTTCTTGTCTGGTACGTGCTGGCGCGCATTTTGGACGACACAGCCCGCAGTAAGTGGCGCCGGCAGACGGACCTCCCAACCATTTCGTGGGGCTCCTTCTTCCCGGTGTACACTAACTTTGCCTGTATCGCCTTGGTTTACGCCGTCATCGCGCCTCTCATCGCGATCTTTGCTATCATCACTTTTGCACTCCTCTGGGTTGCCTACCGCTACAACATGATTTACGTCACGCGCTTTAAGATTGACACGGGTGGCGTGCTGTACCCGCGGGCCATCAACCAGACCTTTACCGGCCTCTATTTTATGGAGCTCTGCCTCATCGGCCTCTTCTTCCTCGTCCGTAATGAAAACGGGGACGTAGCCTGCGCACCGCAGGCCATTGTCATGATTGTCGTTTTGGCGTTGACCGTGGGCTACCAGGTGCTGTTGAACGTGTCTTTTGGACCCCTAATGCGGTATCTCCCTATCACATTTGAGGACGAGGCCGTGCTGCGCGACGAGATGTTCCAGCGAGCACAGGACCGCCGCCTTGGCTTGACCACAGGTGGCGAGGACGGCGAAGACGACGAAGAAGGGAACGACGAGCTGTCCACGTTGACCGGTGCCGACAGCAAGACAGCCGCCGCTGCACTCTCCGAGGGCAACAGCAACGATGTCGAGCTGAAAAAGATTGGCCAAAAAGGCCCCCAGAACTCGTTTGGCCTGACCAACAAACTTAACCCGGTCCGTGGCATCGTCACTGCCGGCACATGGGCCGCGCGTGGCGGCAAAAAGGTCCGCCATGCTACGCTGGGCAAAGCCGAAGACAGCATGCGCACGTCAGCGGCATACCGGCAGCAGCGGCGCCAAAAGGACCTGGAGGCGCAGCGTGCCATGGGCGAGGCCTTGTATGGCGGGTACAATGACGAGATCGAAGACCTGACACCCGAGGAGCGCGATGTCCTTGTCAAAGAAGCGTTCAAGCACTCGGCGCTGCGCGCACACCGGCCAACAGTGTGGATTCCCCGGGACGACATTGGTGTCAGTGACGACGAAATCCGGCACACGTGCAACCTCAGCGACTACATTTGGATCAGCAATGAAGGCACGGCACTCGACAGCAAAGTGCGCGTCGTCTACGGCCGCGCGCCGCCCGACTTTTCCGATCTGGAGCTGATCAATCTCTAATTGGCGAATGGTTTGGCACATCTATGCTTTGGTTACTCCTTTTCTATCTTGCTAGCCTATTTCTGTTTTCTTTTTGTCTCCGTAAAATAACGATTATGAAGAACTTTTTCGTATCATAATTCAAGTGCATTGTTTAAGAAGATTGTCGATTTTGATTCGTTTATTGACTCTATCGTGCGACCGCTGTTGGTGACCAGGACGGCTTTTGAGCTACAGAAAAGCCCTTTAAAATTTAGGACCCAAATTCTAAACTTTATCTTTTTTATCATCTTTACATTCGGTTTCTTCTAACTTTTATGATCTTACTATTTGAAAACAGTGCATGCATTTGGAAATCGACGACTACATTCGAGTTGATGATGGGCGACGTTGATGGCGCACGTGACCCCACGAATTGGTTCTGGCCAATGACAAGCTTGACTTTGGCCCACTTTTCAAATCTGTCGTTCGAGGAGAAACTTTTGAACATCGCCTATTTTCGCGGGTGTCAGGTACAGGTCGAACGACCATCACGCGCACGACGCCCACACCCACGTACCTGTTTACCGCCGTCGAGCATCCATCCGCGGATCAATTGGATGCCACTACACACATAAACACACACATACAATGTCAACAAAAGCGACGGCGGCGGCCACAGAGGCCGTTGCCAAGGCCGGACCGAGTTTCCGCGTCGGCCAGAAACAAGTCTTCCTGTGAGTAGTGAGAAACCAATGCGAGTGCCATTGCGATTTCCAACCGGCTCATGACTCACATGCCTAGCCCCTCACACGTTATCAAGATGCTGCCGCCGAGGCGCATCTTCTCGCCATACTTTGCCACGTTCCAGGTGCCGCTGCGCTTCAACAAGCTCGACCTTCGTGACTACCTTTACCACGCATACGGTGTGGAGGTGCGCGCAGTGCGCTCCTGGCTAACGCCACAGATCCCGCGGCGCCGCTACGTGGAGATGCAGGACGACGACAATACACGAGACATTGTGGCGGTTGGCAAGGGCCAGTGGTACCGCCCGCAACCGATCAAGCGCATGATGGTGGAGCTGGTCAAGCCGTTTGCGTTCCCAGAGCCGCCGGCCGTGCCGACAAAGGAGCAGCTGGGCACGGAGGACGATCCGCGCAAGGACTGGGACTACGACATGAACAAGCGGCTGGTGGCGCAGCAAAAAGCGCAAGAGGACGACCAGCAGCGCATGATGCACGAGCGCAAGTTCTTGCTCCGCGGGGAGGCCGACCACGTGCCGGCATTCCGGGTCGGACTGGCACGGCAAGCACGCGAGCTAGTGACAGGCGAGCGGAAGTGGCGCAACGACGTGGAGCTGGACGAGCGGTGGGAGACGGTTGTGGAGGAGGACAGCAAGCCGGCGAGCAGCGACAACAAGCGATCATGAGGCGCGGGATCCGTTTGACTCACTTTCTTGATTAACAACGGTTATTAACAACAGTTCATGTAGGATTAGAAAAGGGCTTCTGTCTTTTAGTGCATATTGTTCGTGTATGATGTCAAATCAAACAGATCTCAAAAGCATTCCATATAATTTCGGTATGGTAGTGCGTTGTTTGATATTTATTGCCTGGCTAGTGTGCGCCGCTATTATTTGGTATCAACGACAGCCTCTTCTGGCTCTATAGCTGTTGTCCACCATGACGGGTGCTGGAACAGAAGCACTTCATTGCCCCATGCCCACCAACCGGACGTCAGATTCCGTGCAAATATTTCAAGTCCACGAATCTCTGAAGCAGAAGACGGCAAGAACGGCGCCAACAATGGCTTAAGGTGCGGCTTGCGCGAGTGCATATCGGGAACACCCACGATCACACGATGCGCAGGGAGAGCCGTTGATGAGACGCCTCCGTTTCCAGCTGGCCGTCGAGCCAACAACAAACGCTCCCACGGCTTGCGCCACTGCGCGTCCACCGCGACGACGGGCTCACCGCTGCTGGTCACTTTGACCCAGGTCCAAGTCGCCACCAGCTCGACCCCCCAAGTGCGGAACAGGCCATGCTTGGCGTCCGTTAGGAGGGCCTCGCAGGCTGGCTTGTTGGTCACCCACACGGCGACGATTCCACTACGGGCCAGCTTTGCGCCAACGGGGATCTGCCCCAAGATGTCCCGCAGAACGGCCATGTCCGAGGCTGTATCGTAACCACTGTCGGTGCCTTGTACTTCTGCATCTTCTCCCTTGACCAATGCTCTGCGCTTTCTCTTGCGGCCCTGCCGTCGCCGCCGAGCCGACCGGTTGGGCCACGGCGGGTCCATCACGATCACGTCGAACTCGGGCGCAGCGGCGAGGAACTCGTCTCGGCGGTCTGCAATAGTCCCGTCCAGATAATGTGCCCCGGGTGGGATGAGCGGGTCGTCGGGCTTGCTCTCACCAGTGTCTGTTTGGACTGCGTGATCTGAGAGACAACGTGAAAAACACCACGGGCCGTCGAACGCGGCTGTCTTCAGCTCACGGAGAGCGCTCTCCACGGAAGCCCGGGTCGTCAACTCGGCCAGCTGGGCAGCTAAGCTTCGACCGGTCGCATAGTCGATGGCATCCGAGCCTCGTGGTGTATCAAAGGGCTCTGTAGGCGCCGGGGTGGAAATCAATCGCCGGCAGCGTTGCTGCCAACCACTGTTTGCTGTGAAAGCGACATCACCGTCACGAATGCCGCTCACTTCTTGCACCTCCTCAATGGACCTTGGCAGGTCGACAACAACAACAGAGCGATCCGCAGTCTCAAACAGGATCGATGAAGGTGGGCGCGACATCAGCCAGCTGTCCAGCAGCAGTGAAATAGCCGAGACGCCTATGAAAGCTCAGCAGTAATCCAGGGCGTTCCGAATCCGGGGAAGACGTGAAGAAAGGCGAAGCCCCAATATGGGGTTGCAATTGGGGGCAAGTCGCCGTTGTTGGCCGTTGATAGGGGTGACATAATACAGGTGTGTTTTGGCGCATTGACTGTCTGGTAGTCGCTGGTGACTTTCACGTGTCTGCAGCCAACCTCTAGCTGGGCAGACTCCTGCTGTGCATTTACCATCAAGAGCATTGGTGGTAAAGTGGCTCGGCAATTGTCGGCTCGGAAGGATAGGCGGGCGATTTTGCCGGGGTTAACAGAAACTTTTAGGGGAAGGAATGATGACGGAGGTGCCACAAATGGTCACGTTGGTTGACGGAATGCTGTAGAATGGAGGTTGGAAGGCGAAAATTTCCATTTGTGGGCACTTTGGCGCTGTTTGGGTGAAGGGCACATGACCATTGCGCCTGCCGCATAAGTTTAGCCCAGTGCAGGCGGCTCTTGCTTCTTTAGAGTCAGAATCGTCACCGGCACAGTCGCGCGAGTCGTCGCTTCCCGCAAAAGTGAGACGGCGACCTGGTGTGCTAAGCAGTGCCTTGCCTCGAAGCTTCCCTTTTTATGCGCTCCTTTTCGCTATCATTTCAGGAAGGAACATCTTCTTGCTGTCTGTCCCTACGACTTACCACCAGATTATGTGAGTTTAGCAATCTCTCGTCGCCCTTTGGTTCAGTCACCGTCACCGACGCCGCTAAAGGCGAGGCCTCTCCACGCCCGCTAAAACCGCTAAACGGCAGAAGCGCAAAGTGCAGAGGACTAATACCGGAGGAAGGCGAGGCCTCGAATGGAAATCGCAGGGCTCGGCGAATCTTTGCAAGTCTAACGACACTATATAGCGTGCCACTATCAACGCCGCTCGATTCGTTCCCTCCTTCCCACAGACGAACCCGTTCTTTCCTCCGAACAACCCACGGCCGAGACTGTCGTCCCTCTTTTTCTTACTGTTCCGACAATCGACTCGACGTCATTACTTCTGTCGTCTTCCCTTTCTCCCCCCACTCTGACACACAGCCTCTATTCTTGCGTGGGAATGACATCAACCCTCGCGAACCATGCGCCGACTGCCCCGTCCAGCTTCGCTTCGCCCACCATGTCTGAGATAGCACAGTCGGCCCGGCCGCGCGAGAGCCGCAACGGCGGAAACGACGGGGCGACCACTTCGACCCCCGTATCCATATCCACGACACACGCGGGCGAACGGAAAACGCTGGACAAACAGAGCGTCGACTACCTCTGGCGGTCCGGCGTCGCCGGCGGTGTGGCCGGCAGCGTGGCCAAGACGATCGTGGCGCCGCTGGACCGCGTCAAGATCTTATTCCAGGCGAGCAACCCGCAGTTTGCAAAGTATTCGGGCTCCTGGTCTGGCGTTGCACACTCCATGCGCATCATCTACCAGCAGGACGGCGTCACGGGCCTGTACCGCGGCCACTCGGCAACGCTGCTGCGGGTGTTCCCGTACGCAGCCGTCAAGTTTATTGCGTATGAGCAGATCCGGTCGTTTATTATCCCGCACAAGGACAAGGAGACGCCGCTGCGGCGGCTGCTGAGCGGCTCGCTGGCTGGCGTGACGTCGGTGTTTGTGACGTACCCGCTCGAGGTGATCCGCGTGCGGCTGGCCTTTGAGACGCGGCGCGACGGGCACTCGACACTGGCTTCCATCTGCCGGCGCATCTACACGGAGCAGTCGATCGACCGGAATGCCGCAGCGACTGCGGCGACCAACGGCAGCAAGGAGGGCGTGGCGGCAGGTGTCACGGAAGCCGTGGCCGCCACCCTGCCGCGGTCCGGGCTGCGCAACTTTTACCGCGGCTTCACGCCCACCATTCTGGGCATGCTGCCCTACGCCGGCATGTCCTTTCTGACCCACGACACGGCCGGCGACGTGCTGCGGATGCCCATGTTTGCCAAGTACACGACACTGCCCGCGCCGCCCAATGCACCGGTCGACAAGCCACTGCCGCTGCGGTCGTGGGCCGAGCTGCTGGCGGGCGGTGTGGCCGGTCTGGTTTCGCAGACGGCGTCATACCCGCTCGAAGTGATCCGGCGGCGCATGCAGGTGGGCGGTGCGGTGGGCGATGGCCACCGGCTGCGGATTGGTGAGACGGCGTCGCTGATTATGCGGGAGCGCGGCATCCGCGGGTTCTTTGTGGGTCTGACGATTGGCTACGTCAAGATTGTCCCGATGGCGGCCGCGGCGTTTTACACGTACGAGCGGTTAAAACGGGCATTTGGTATTTAAGGGACCGACAATTGGCGGTACCCTGTGGGCGGCGGTTGGACGTCGTTTGGAAATCATTTTCTGCGATGGATTTGGCGTTCATGTTGGGAAGGAAGCGTGTTCTTTATTCTGGTTCTTGTTTTATCACATGCATACGGCTGTGGACGACACATGTCCGCCGCCCGCCTTCCTTGATTTTAGTTTTCTTCCTGTCTCATCTTCATCTCATCGTCCCTTCACAGTTCAAACTTCACATCCCACGTCACGTCACCCTACCGACGAATGTCGACAAAAGTGACGTCTCTTTGTGTACGACCACAAGACGGCAGCGAGCATATATAGATGGAGCGACGGTTGGCTAGATATCTTATATCGTCAGTCACAAAGTTCAAAAAGCCCTTCAGTGGCTGCTGTACATACTACGAATGGATATACAGGTATACTTGGCAAGATAGAAAATGAAATTGTCCAAGCTTAAGTCTAGCACGTAACGGATTCCAAATCTCTGTATTTTATTCAGTGTCATATTGCGTCTCTTGCTTCGTACAAGTCTTGCAATTGCTATACTTTCATGTTCATTTCGTTTCTGGTCGTTCCAGGGTCTAATAGTGCTATTATAAAAACAGAGATCTGGATATCTGGGGGTGTAAAAAAAGAGGTGAGAAAAAAGTGCACAGTGCGGCAAGGCAGCTATTACAAAATGAGAAGGAAAAGTTAGATAATGAAGGAATGTGAAGAGGAGTCCGGGATGTGCACGATGGTCTGATCTGGTCATGGAAGGGGTGTGGGAGGAATGCTTGGTAAGAGAGCGAAGCGAGACCTGGAAGCGACAGAGACAGGAGCGAAAAAAATATAGAACAAAAAAAACAGAAAAATTGACCGTGTATAGCTGAAAGGAGGTAAAAAGCAAATTTACATGTGGTTTCTCATATTCGTGTCTGTTTTTTTTCTGCCTTTATTTTTCTTTGGTACTAGTCATCTGATCCCTCCGCCTCGTCTGCTCTCCACCAGAATCCTTTTACTGCTTGTTCTCGACGAAGACGCCGTTGCCGCCCTCAAGGGCAGGGCTGGGGCCCGGGATGTAGTCCTGGTCCTCGCCCGACAGCTCCTCGAGCGTCTTGCGCTTGGTCTCCGGAATCAGCAGAGTAGAGAAGCAGCCCAGAAGCATAAAGAGGGCGTAGATCTCCAGGACGTGGTCGAGCCAAGGGGCCGTGTTGGTGGACGTGGCGCCACGGGTGCGCAGGGGAGCAATGGCACCCTGGCCGATGATGGAGCCGATCTTGCCAGAAGCGGCCGAGATACCGTGCGACGTAGAACGGTAGCGAGTGGGGAAGCACTCGCCGGGCACGATGAACGTGGTGGTGTTGGGGCCGAAGTTGAAGAAGAACTGGGCCAGGACGTAGATGGCCAGCAGGCCGCCCGAGGACAGGTGCTTGTAGCCGAAGCCCATGCCAATGAACAGGACGGTCAGGATGGCGAAGCCACCGAGCTGCAGGGGCTTGCGGCCGACCGTGTCAATGGTAGCAACGGCGAACCAGTAGCCAGGCACGGCGCCAGCCAGGACAATAATCAGGTTGCCAATGGCGGTGTTGTAGAGGTACTCATAGGTGGAGTGGGTGCCCGAGGTGGAGTAGCCAATGGTGCCCAGGATGGTGGCGTTGTTCAGGGACAGGCCGTAGTAGGCAATGTCGAGGAAGCACCACGACAGAGCAGTGCCGGCAAGGACCTTGGCGTTCTTCAGCTGCGAGTAGTGGCTGAAGAAGTCACGCCAGCTGGCCTTGCCGACGTCCAGCTTCTCGGCGGTAACCTTGTGGGCGGCGGCGCGGGCGACCTCGTCGACGACACCCTCGCCGTGGCGGCCGCTGATGTACGTCTTGACGTCCTCGTCGGCCTTCTCGACGTCGCGGGCAACGTCAAAAGTGTAGCGGGGCGTCTCGGGGATGGTCAGCCGGTAGTAGAGGGCAATGCAGCCGGGGACGGCGCCGAAGCCGATCAGGGTGCGCCACATCTTGTCGACGGCCAGGGCGCAGACGCCCGTGCAGTTGGCGACCTTGGTGGAGGTGCTGAGCGACTCCTTGAAGCCGAGAGTGACAAACAGCATGACGAAGGCAGCCGTGAGCTGGCCCAGGCCCTGCATGGCGAAGACAGCGCCCATCATGGCACCTCTCCACTTGGTAGTAGCGAACCTGAACTGTTAGCGACGTTCAGAGTCCTCGTGCGAATACAATCACAACTCACTCTGAAGTAATGATGGACGACAGGGGGTAGTCACCACCGATACCGATGCCCATCAGCACACGCCAGAAGATAATCACGCCGATGATGTCGACAGAGGGCGAGCCGGACGAAAGGGCCTGGGCGAGCGTGGCGAAGATGATGACAATCAGCTCCAGACCGTACATGCGCTTACGACCGAGCTGTGCATTGTTAGTAGTGGTCAAAATAGATCGCAGCGAGCCACAAGAGAGTCAAAAAAGAGGCAAGGATCTCGGAGTGGAGCGTACCAAATCAGCAGCAGTACCGAAACCCAGCTGACCAACGACAGTACCGGCCGAGGTGGCCAGCTTGATGGCGGTATCCGACTTGTTGGGCATGACGCCGACGCCCGGGAAGTAGACGATACCCAGCATGATGGTGAGCAGCGAGACGGCGAAAATGTCGTACGAATCCGTGAAGAAACCGACACCGGCAACAACGATGGCGCGCACATGGTACCAGCCGAAGGGGGCCTTGTCGATCTCGGCCAGGGCGAGACGGCGGCGCTCGTTGGGGTCCTGGACGTGGATAAAGTCGTTGTGGAAGTTGTGGTAGGCGGCGTTGCCGCCAGATGTCTTCTGGGCGGGGGCGCCCGAAACGGCCGGAGCCTGGGCCTCGTAGTCGGCCATTGCGTTGCGATGAAGAGGGGGCAGTGAAAATAAGAAAAGAAATAAATGAGTGAAGAGAAGAAAGAAGAAGAGGCAGTCAACACACACGCAAACACAGATGTGCCAGAGTGGATGGACGGGATTCGTGAAGAAAGCGGCCTTGGAAAGAACGGGCAAGGAAGAGAGAAACGAAATAACGAAAAGAAGCAGGGGGTGGAATGTGAGGAAAGGAAGACGATGGTCAACGTCTTATACCAAAAGGAAGATGCACAGAACAAAGTCGCATGATGGGGAGGGGGGGACAAGTCTGGCAGGGTCCAGATCCAGGCTTCAAGGTTGACACGAGGTACCGGCACGACGCAAAGCCTCACGAGAGCAGGGACGAGACGCGAAAAAAGAGACAAAATGGAAAGAAAAAGGAAAGGAAACGTAAAACGGTACCCACAATTGACTTGTAAACCGAGCCCAAAGAGGAAAGAAGCAGGAGCAATAAGAGCCACTGCAAAACATGACCACCGAGAGAAAATAGACTTTGTGAAGAATAAAGATAGGCCCACTCACCCACGCATAGCGTCCCCTCCTGCAGGTGTAACGAAATTCGCCCCAACCTTCATAACGTACTATGCAGGCTCGTGATTATGACAGGGTGCCTTGCCTGGTTGTCTGCAGGGATTGAGCTGTGAGAGAAAGGGGAGGGGGCGTGTCAACAAGAAAAAGAGGCTCGCGAGTGGGAGGGGGTGGTTGCCAAGCTCGGTGACTGGTTTGAGGAAGTCAACCAGTCAACCAGTCAACGCAGTCAAGCCGCAGTGTCGCTGCTCACAATACTTGATGCTGCGTTTATGCAACGCGTAATTCACCATGGAATCACTGCGGAAGCTCGCCATTGGACTCTCCATTGAAATTACACCGAACATGGACAGGCACATGCGTGACCAGCGAGAAGTGCCGCAGGAGCAGTATGCAGCAGCAACAGCCGCACGATAGACAGGCAACCTGGGACGACGGTGCACCCCAACTGGATGATCTGGAATATCGCTGGGCACCACAGCACATTGTATCTTACATCTACTTACACCCCTCTCGTCCGTACGGTCGTCGCCTGACATCGCCATCGGCGCCATCATGTAGGGACATTATTCTACTCTGACGTCGTCTAGACCTGGTTGCAAGTTCGACTTTTTGCAGGCTACTGCTGATCTAAATGGATGCCGTGCTTCATAGTTTCCAAGCTGCGCCTTTCTTGTGAACGATCCCAAGGCGTCGGTTCTCTTCTTTCAGTGACCGATTGCTGCTCACAGCGGCCTATGGCGACTGAGCAAGCACCCCAAGGATCCCAGGGCAGAATCAGTCACTGCCAGCACCCCTCACAGCCACAAAACGTGACGGCAAGCACGACGAAGGTTTGCTGGAGCAATCTGGATCAGTCACAGGTCTGCCAGGCAAGGGAGCCTAGAAGGCTCCGAAAAGCCTTGCTTGAGACGCTCGCCAGCCTACGCTTTTGCATCCTGACTCTTGATCGCCTTGGCTCCTCTGCTGTCGCTGTCTCCGTCGTCCCCGTTGCCAATTAGGGTTTCCCATGATGTTTTGGAATGTTTTTTGTTCCTTTGTTGTTCTCGCCCCTCGCCCCGTTCACCTGTCGATTTCGCCCTCGACCGCCGGCGCCCCTTCCCGACTTGGCAACATCTCCAGTCCATGTCAGAATAGGGCACAACTTGAATTAAAAGTCGCTGGATCTAGACTCGATAGCATACATAGTATGTCGCTACAATGGTTATCTTTGAAGCTATGGCATCCTTCGCGACGGCTCCCTTCTTCTCGCTACTCACCATGCCCAATCCAGCTCGTGGCAACGGGGCAGAGGTATCCATCGCGTGCCAGGCCTCAGATTCCACTAAAATAAGAAAAGACGCTCATTTTCGGCGGGCCCTAAATGAGGCAGTCAACCGTCGAGTTGGTCGGTCGCGATTTCCCTCCTGTTTCCTCAGGGTGTTCCCGTCTGGCCAATCATCTTACAGCATTCCCGTAACCTCCAGTGTTAGCAGGGGCCGGGCACGGGCCATCCGGGTGGAGCGGGTACCTTAGATCTGGTGAATTGCAGTTGCTTGAGAAGGCACGTTTCGTAGATCTATCCTCTTATTGGTTGCCCGGCACCTCAGCCTTTTCGAGTGCGGGCCCACTTTGAACGTCCAACATCAATAGTGCAGCTTTACGAAAAAGGCATATCTTTGTAGCCAGCAGGCAAAGCCAAAACAAGCGCACCCTCCGAGGCAATGGCCAGACGCATCAAGTGCGTGCCCTCGGTCACCCGAGTCGTCGTTCCCTAACGTCGTACGCCACAAACGTGCCCTGGCGACCCTTCCCCCATTTCTGGGTCGTCGACCTCCCCAAAGGTCGCCGACACCCACACCTCTATGGGTCTAGAACTGTGTAGGTTTTCCTAGCGTGTCCGTTCTACGTCGATGGGCCTTTTTTTAACTCCAGATAATCCCCCCCCCAACTCCACTGGCGTCCCTGGTCAGCTCTGGCCAACGACACCGTCGAATTCATCCACGAGCTGCTCTCGTGCTCAACTTTTGTGACTTTTCGTCTTCGGCAGCTTTGGCCTCTGGTTCTGGATTGCAAGTCTTGGCAATACAAAAGGAGCGGACGCGTATCGTATCTTATTACCCTTTTGTGAGCCCTACGTCGTACGGAGCAATTCTATTGAAGTTTGTTCGTCTTTTATTTTATGTGGTCTCTTCGTTACCTACAAGCCATCTCGGTCGTGATGTTACTTTTGGCTGGCAGAACAGTCGTCGTTCCCAAAATGAAGATGGTGAATTCGCATTGATAAAAATGAGTTTATTCTCATTTTATATTTTGTCCTTTTTGGAATATTGCTTTTGGCTTATCTGGGAACACCATCATCCCGGCTATGTCTTTCCTTTCTGGCGTGGTATATTTTCCATTTTTTGTTTCTCTACTTTTCATTGTTCTGCTATTGTCCTCCATCTTCTTTCTTTGTTTCTCTCTTTGTGCCACGACTTTTGCTTCTCATTTCCACTTTCCATGTTTTTGTATCCCTGCTCTATGTTTGATCCGTTAGCTTCAACTTGCTTTACCTTAGCCATCGTGGTCGTCATGCCCGTCCTCTTGCCATCCGACACCACCCTCCCGCACGTTTCCTTACTTTTTTATGAGACTGACGGCCCTGGGTTCGCCTTCCCCACATATCCATTTCCTTTCTTCTGGGAAATCTTCATTTCTTTCGTTCTGGCTAGGTAATACTTCGCACACCTCCGACCCTTCCCTTCGATGGGCCGGCTGACAAGCTCAACTCAGCTTGCCACCGACCGTTCTAGACGCCCGTCCTCCAGCATGTTAACGAACGCCACACGCGAGCCGCAAAAAAAGAAATACCTGCAGAAATGTTGAGGCAGCCTTTCGAAGACTTCAGAGTAGCCTTTGGGGAGACTTTTGCGACGGTGTGTCGTCCGTGTCTCGAAAGGTCGGTCTTGGAAGCTCTTAAGGCAGCATGGAGTTTGTTGAAGAACGGCCACCCTCGGCTACGTCTTGGCATGGTGTCTTGGACAAAGTTCTGGAAAGTTTGAAATTCCCTAGTCGCGATCATGCCATGCCGCAACGGGTCTTGTCCGCCGCCCCGTCAACAGTAACGGCGAAGCTTGATTGTGTCGCACTTGGCTAGACGGTGTCGCTCTTCAAGAATGTTCCCAGGTGGCATGTCTTGGCCTGGCCTCTTCGTTGAAAATAGCGTGCAGACTCTTGGATGGAGTATCCTCAGGTCAGACTACCCTATCTCACCCCCCTCACCCCGCGCTTCTCGTTTCTGCTCTGTACGTCGTATGGAATATATCGTACAATTTCTTGGCGATGGAGCCATTGCCGTAGGTATACGCGTGGGTATCTGTGTGGGGGTAAATAGATGAGGGCGTGTACATGATCGCTTCATTATTGTTCTGTCGCCCAAGTCCCTTGGCCTTAGGTTATCGTGGTTGTTCGATGTCCTCGCTGTTTCCCCGATACGATTGGAATACGTCGTATGCCAAATATTACTTCTATCCGTAAAGGACGTAGCAGAACGCACCTCTCCTCCATCTCTTGGCCATCGCTAAACAAACTCGAGTGAGGCTCTGGGTCACGGGAAGCCAAACGAAAATCTTCACTCGTCCCATCTGGGAAGCGTCGTGGCACTATGAAAGCATGGCTCGTGGGTGTGCCGATATGAAATGCCCTCCAAAGTATGTACACTTGTACCCGCTGTGGCTTGGCTTGAATTTATCCCGCGAACGTCGTCGGTAACGCTTACGACAGACGACGGTTCGACATTGCGCGACACATTCCGTACTCGAGGTACCCCGGTTTATTTGTCTGTCCGGTCTGCCAAGTGCCTGGGACCATTGTTGCATGCTGCATTCGAGTCGTGTGCTTTCCACACATTCTCGGTCATCAATCGTCTGACTTTGCTTCCATTGCGAGCTCACTTCGATCCAGGTTGTGTGCAGAATGTGGTGAGCGCGAGCCAACATGCGTCTTTGTTGCTACGTTGCAAAGTCGTGGTGGCTTTTTTGGCGTGATCACCGCTGACAATCTTTCTAAAACGAAAATCAAATCTCATTTTGTGTAGGCCACGCGTCTTTTATGTCTTTCGACTTGCTTGAGCTTTTTGTTTCTTTTTTCGCTCGTCTTTTTATCACCCGCCACTTTCTATACCTCGACTATTCGCTCGTCCTCGTCCTCGTCTTCAACCTCTGTGATGCGCGCCTTGGGACTTGCGGCGTCATCCTTTTCGTCAGGCGCCTCGTCCCGTGCCAGCACTTGCACCAGCCGGTCGCATGCGTCACGCAAATCCTCATTGTCTACGCGTAAATGTGTCTCGCGGATCAACGGGTACACTTTGACGGCACGCATCATCTCGCGACCGGGTCGCGTCGTCGTCAAGATCGTCAAGGTCTCGACGTGCGTCTGCAAGATGGTAGCGTCTGGATCGCGCTGCTTGTCAGGTGGCAGCAGCTGCAGGTCCGGCAGCATGTCGAGCATCTCGTCCTCATCGTAGCTCTCGTTGCCGGCGAGGGGCAGCAAGAGGTACGGCAGGATGTTGATGTCGTCCTCGTCCAACATGGCCGGGTGCGAGGGAATGTCAAAGGCGACGTTCTTGATCGTGCTGGCAACGCCCTTGCGGCGCACGTCTGACTTGTGCTCGGTAAAGACGCGGATCTTTGTTAAGGGAATCACGTCGTCGTAGGGCTGGCGCTTGACAAAGTATTGGCGGATCTCGGCGTGTTTGGCGAGGTCAGCGAAGAAGTAGGCCAAGTAATCGTAGTCGGCGTGCTTGTTGTAGCTGCCGTCGGCGCCCTTGACAAAAAGGTCCATGACCTGGTTGATGACACGGTCGTCGGAGCCGAGGCCCTCTGGCGCGTCCTGTTTTCGGTCGAGGATGGACTTGAGGCCGTCCCACTTGGCCAGATTGGCCAGCAGCATTGCCAATAGGTTGGCATTGGCCTCTTCTTTGTTCTAAAAATGCATCCGTTAGCAAAGTCCGGCCGTGTTTCGCTCGGGCCGCAAACATACTATTAGCAAGAAGAACAACAACTCCAGGAACTTGTCGTCTGAAGCCACATCTGCTAAAATGTCGGCATCGCCCGTCAGGTTGATGAGGATTGTGAGCGCATGTTCTGCGATTTTGGGGTGATCTGCCACCAGAATCTTCAGCTCGCTAATCGGCTCGAGGTTGTTGACTTTGAAGATGGAAGGCTGTGACGTTGAGTAAGCCACGAGGTTCTCGGTAGCAAGCAGTCTTATTTGTGGGTTTTCGTGGCCGATAAAGCTCACGAGCTGGCCCTGTTAGCATTTTTTCTGATGTGACGACAAGTCGGAGATCCAAACAAAGATCCACGCCCGTCAAAGATGGCAAACTCACCTCCTCCAGCTCCGTCGGCATAGTGGCAGAAATCAGTGACCTTGGTCAATATTAAACAATCGAGAACAGTTGTGTGATTATCAAAAAAAATTGAATCAAAATTTGGAGGGTGACGAGAGCGCGAAATGCGAGGGTATAAAAACGTGTAGTTTGGAACACAGTGCTCTCAGCGTAGATGAAGCTATTCACAGGGCCAAAGCAGACTTTTTGGGCCGGAGGGGCAATGACGCACCTTTAAAACAGGTGCTGTGGCGTCGCTGTGGCGGGGCAAAAGTCTTTAGGAGGTCGAGTGTCGTCGCTGTTATCGATAAGGCTTTTTAGCGTGCATTTTTTTCTTGCCCACTGCGGTGCCTCAACATCACCGCCCAAATTTGTCCCGCCAAAATTTCGCTGCCAAGTAGGCAATTTGAAATATCAAATATTACTTGCTGCTCGACATTGATGCATTCGGCACCAGTTTTTAGGAAGAGACCGATAACCCCCACCTGAACGTACCTTTGACAAACTTCCACATCATGCCGAAAGCGGTGTCGCCGGCCGCGCGCCAGGCCCGCCGCCACAATCCGCTCGACGAAGACTTGCTCGCCCGTGGCCTGCTGAAGCAAAAAGCACCAAAGCGCGGCGGCGCCCACGCAGGCAGTGATGATGAGGACGGCCCGGGCTTCGTGGACTCCAAGGCATCTAAGCGCATTTTGCAGCTGGGCCGCGAGCTCGCAACAGAGGGCGACGAGGAGGCAGCAACACGGGCACAAAAGGCCGACGCGTTTGCCTTTGGCTCACGATTTCCGGGCGACGAGGAGGATGCCGAGATCGACGAGCAGCCTGAAAGCGGCGGCGCCTTTGGCGACGACGACGTTTGGGAGGACGAGGACAAGACGGCGTTGGACGACGGCGGCGAGGGCGACCTGGAGCCGGAAGACCTGGCGGCGTTCGACAAGATTGTCGGGGGCCACCGAGACGACGACCCATTATTGAGCAGCGGGCTGGACCTGCACATTTCGGACAAGACGAAGACGCAAGAAGACGGCGATGTAACGGAAGAGACGACGGCCGCGGGCAGCCGCAACCTGGCCGACATTATCCTGGCCAAGATTGCCGAGCACGAGGCCGGCCAGCGGGGCGACGGCTCAAACATGGAGTTCGTGCCCGCTGGCCACGGCGCGTTTGGCGAGGACGACGGCGAGATCGACATCAACCCCAAGGTCGTCGAGGTGTACAGCAAGTGCGGCCTCCTGTTGTCGCGCTGGACATCTGGCAAGCTGCCCAAGCCGCTCAAGATCCTCCCGACGGTGCCACAGTGGGAGACGCTGCTCGAGATTGCGCAGCCCGAGGGGTGGTCCCCCAATGCCTGCTACGAGATGACGAAAATCTTTGTGAGCGCCAAGGCCGAGGTCGGCCGCCGCTTCATGGAAATGGTGATCCTCGACCGGGTGCGCGACGACATTCGCGAGACCAAGAAGCTCAACGTGCACCTCTTTGCCGCCCTCAAGAAATCGCTGTTCCGCCCGGCCGCCTTCTTCAAGGGCTTCCTGTTCCCCCTCGTGCTCTCGGGCACCACGACGCTGCGCGAGGCCCAGATCGTCAGCGCCGCCCTCGTGCGCACCTCCATCCCCGTGCTGCACTCCAGTGCCGCCCTCAAGGGCCTGTGCGACATTGCCGCCGAGATCTCGCCCGACTCCGAGGGCCAGTCTGCCATCAGTGTCTTCATCAAGGCCCTGCTGGACAAGCGCTATGCCCTGCCCTACCAGGTCGTCGACGCCCTCGTTATTCATTTCCTGCGGGCCCGCGCCTCTGCCGTCCCGCCCGTCGTCTGGCACCAGAGTTTCCTGCTGTTTGCCCAGCGCTACCACGACTCCATCACCGAGGACCAGCGTGAGGCCCTGTTGGACCTGCTGCTGACCCATGGTCACGCCGCTATTGGCCCCGAGATCCGACGCGAGCTGCTGGCCGGTCGTGGTCGTGGCATTCCCATGCCGGCGCAGGGCGCCGATTTTGACGGCGACGACACGATGCTGATCGATGCATGAGGGCGGGCCCTTGGTTTGGTTCTGTCGAGTCGAGGTTTTCCGGTAGTCTTTGGGTGTTCTTTTAACCTTGGCTCCTGACCCAAGGGTACATAATGAGAAGACATGATTTTCTAAAAAGTTTGGGACTCGGCGTTGGGCATTCATTTTTCGTTCCTAGACAAATATGATTTATATGGATATATTCAATCCATTTTAGCTATTCTCGTTTGTGTGTGTGTTTTTAATTGGTTTATTTGAAAGTCATACAAATCATTAAAGACAATATGAAAATTTTGGATATTGTGGATTGCTTTTAACGTGATTCTAATAAAAATAGTCAAGATTTAATTATCTAAAAGTACAAGTTTTGACACAACCACTTTATTTCTACAAATTCTTATATGTATATCACTCTTTAATCACCAAGAAAATAGTCTGTCGACTTTGAAAAACGTAGAGAGTTCACTTGCTCCATGCTTGAGTACTTGAAGAGCGCATTGTTGGATGCCTTTTCTATTGTTGTCCGAAAGCAGCAAACGATAAAAGTGGACCATCTTATCGATAACAGCCACGCTATTTTCTCGACCTCCCTGCGCAAACGACAGCTTTCGTTGCACGATGCATCGTCAAGCTCAAATACTCTCCACGAACCGCCGCGGCACAACCTTGTTCACGCGGTCATCTACGTCCTCGCGACAGTCAACTGACTCTTTGTTGATTCTCGATCCGATCTTGCGCCTTCGCTAGCGAGCGTCCGGCCTGCGGGCCACCTTCGTCCCCCTTTCCTCCCTTTTCCGACGACGCGACGTCGTCTTCATCGGACTTCGCATCACCCTCCATCCTCACAATGGCCACCGCCGAAATTGATCCGTTACTTTTCCTGCGGCAAGCGATTGCCGCTGGCTCGCCTGTCGTGCCCACGGCCACCGATGCCAGCGACGCGCCCACCACGCCTTTGCCCCAGGCCCGCTTCCTGCAATTCGGTGAAGGCGCGGCCGCTGGCGACCGCACGGCTGTACCTATCGATGCCCCCACGCGCTTTGTGTCCAATGACGTGCCCGTCGACCTGCGGTCCATCTACTTTGCGTGGCTCAATCGTGAGGTGGCCATTCACGAGTACAATGCGGCGGCCACGCGCCTCAATGAAGAGCTCGCGACGGTCGGGTCGACGGCAACGGTGCACAAGTTTGCGTTTGTCGAACGCCTGGATCTTATCACGTGGCTCGAGGGCGCGAGTGAGGAGAGCGAGTACATCAAGGCCGTAGGCGGTGCAGGTGTGGCTGGCGCTGCGGGTGCAGCGCCCGGTGCCCGGACGGATGCCGGCGCTGCGGCAACAGTGTCGCGGGCGGGCCGAGGCGCGCTCATCGACCCGCGCCTGGCGGTCATCTACAGCGGCGAGCGGCGCACGGGCGACCACAATACGGTCCTGCGCGGTATCAAGCCAACGGTACGCCGTGTCTCCTTTCTCCACCTCCCCACGCCACGCTCCTCTGGCGCCTAGATAACCATGTCTGCACAACACAGGAGAATCGCTAACATCCCCCGCCTTTCTAGGACTTCTCGCACGTGAGAAAGCTGGCCGTGCCATTCATGTCGCGCAAGCAGCAGGGTGGCGCCGCACCTGTGGGTGCCCTCGATGCCGCCAAGAAGCTGCCCGGCGCTGCACTGCCGCTCAACCCCAAGAGCGGCCCCACGCGGCGGCCGGATCCCATCATTCTGCTGTCGCCCTCGGCGTCCAGCCTGCTGCGCATGTCCAACATCAAGTCCTTTTTGGAGTCCGGCCGTTACACCCCCGCCGACAACAGCTCCACGGCCACCATGCTGCACTTGACCCGCACGATGAAGGACATCGACCCGGCGCGCGCTCTGCGCTTCATCCTCGTGGAAGGCCCCGAGCACTTCAAGCCCGAGTACTGGAACCGCGTCGTTGCCGTCTTCACAACCGGCCAGGCCTGGCAGTTCAAGAGCTACAAGTGGACGACGCCGACCGAGCTCTTCAAGCACGTCCAAGGCATCTACGTCGGCTGGCGCGGCGAGCCCGTTCCCGCGGGCGTTCGTGACTGGGGCCACCGCGTGCTCAACTGCGCCATTGACAAGTACACCGATCCCAATCTACCAGGCGCGGACGTCAACCGTTGGCGTGATCGTGAGGTGTCTGAGTCGATCTGGAAGGCGATTGAGCATAACATGCGGCAAAAGGGCTGGACGCGAGACTCGGGCGCGACGCTGGTTTAGGTTGGATGGAGGGCACTCTATTTTTCTGTATTTTTGAACGGATGACTTTGCTTTGGTGCATGTTGCGTATTGTTTCGACGGAAAAAAAGGGATGGAGTCACATGGCGGTTTGCTTTTCTTTCAGATTTTGGCTTGATTTATGACAATTGATTTTGTTTTCATGTTGCGCAAATGAATCGATGTATGTAACATTTCAACTGTTTGTCTTTATTCGTTTTTGCATAGAAAGTACATGACATTTCACAGAGAGACATGTGCCGTTCTGTGCCTCGATTATTGCAGCCCACGCCAGCATATTGCTGCCGCATTCTGGTACCTTTCATCGACCCCGTGTCCGTCTCCGGTTCCTACCTCCGACTCCGTACATACTTTGCAGTGTGCGGTTGATAAGCTCAGCGGGGTCCGTGACATGGACAAGAGGGGCAAAGCGATGATGGCAAAGATGATTAAGGCCCGTTATGTGACGTTTACAACAACAGTGTTTGTGCTTTTCATGATCCCGGGCGAAATTTGTCTAGTTCTTTGGACAATTTCGCTTTAAACGAGTCTTCTTCTTTTCAGCCTTCACGGGCATTTTGCACAGCAACTCAAAGCGATGCTAGATGAGATGCCATTGTGGCTACGGCCGAGGTGTATGGCCGACGCGTTGACGTGTAGAATCGGAGTGGCTTATAAGATCTCGTATGATGTGTCGCCTTCCATAACTGTGAAGATATATCGTTCCTTCGAACGCCACTGACCGGGGCTGAGACGAAATGGAAAGAGCATTCTGAAGGGACAGCGGAAGAGGCTGAGACACAGCCTTACTGATGGTCGGGCTGCGCCTTCCTGGCCGCATGGGCGACGGGCGGCAGGCGCGCAATGCGACTCCACCCGCGCGCCTACCTTTTTCACTTTTTAGCTGCTGATAATTGCTATTTTGGGCAACAGCTCACAAGCGCCCTTTTTGTCGACTAGTCTGGAAGGTATTGTCGCTCGTCAGCAGCCTTCTTTCCTTGTTCGCCTCCCCAGTCGCTTGTTCCCTCATTTCGGCCATTTTGGCCTCTTGGATCCAATTTCCCCCTTTTACGTCGTATCTTGTGTGCAAATGGTTAGGTTATGCCTCGTATTTGGGCTTTTCTCCTGCGATCGTCAGCCACTGTAAGTACGTGACTGTATGTGCTAGTGTACTAACAGCAGAGTGCAGTGGCAATGGATGCCATCCAAGCCAACAAGTAAGCAGCAACCTTTGGTTAATGGCTGTCGAGATAACCGACAGTACGACATCTTCTGAAGTATTCCAAGAGGCTTCCAAAGTATTTTTATTTTATTTTATTTTAGCTGCTCTTCGTGGTCCTTTCTTCCCTGTCTAAGCGAGGGTGGAGGCGAGTCTGCAAACATTGGACGGATGTGGCCATCGATGACGAGAAATACGAATCAACAAGGAAAAGAAAACGAAAGACGAAAAAATACACAACATACACGGAAAAACGACCGAGGCAATCCAAATGTGGACATGGGCACAACAAACAAAACGCCAAGACGGAATGGAAGGGAACCTGGGCTTCCCCAGCCAGACCATAGAGCCAACGGCCCCCAGGTGCCCGGCTTACACACTCTTTATTTATATCATCACTCATGCATTTCCCCGTTCGCCTGCGCTCCATATTGTACCACACTTTGATCGCCTTGCAACTCGAAATGAGAAGAGGGCCACACTCGCCCGGCTGCGTTGACTAGTTTCCGCGGACCCATTTTCTTGTTTTCTCATCCTCGTGTGTTGGTCGCCTTTGTCTGACACTTCTCGCAATTTCGTCCGTGATTATTTTGCTTCCTTATTCTTTTCTGTTTTTATCTTTCTAATATCCCAACTCACCTTCAACATCGTCGCCCCATTTTGCACGACTTTTTTGTGTTTAGTTTTGCTCGTCTCACATATACTATATTCTCCCTCCCTCCTCCTCCCACGATGAAATCGCCTACATCTACCAACCGCCTCTCGGCTCCATTGTCGAAACGAACCGTCTTCACGTCCATCACACCGCTCCCGCTAAATGTCAGCCGAGCAGCCGCCGTCGACTTTCTGCACGACTACGAGACCATGATTGACATCAACCCCTTGATCATAGACCGTTACCGGATCCCACCACCGCCCGAGGCCGATGCAGACGAGGCCCACTGCACGTGGTACCAGCTTACCGATACCGTCGTCATGCCATGGTCGGCCTCTTCGCCAGCATCCGCCGAGACCACATCCGCCAAGACCAAGCCTGGCAATGTTTCCTACACCTGCGCCTTCCACCCACTGCCTGATGGCCTGCAGACACACTGCCGCGCCCCGCTCGGCGTCGACATCCGCGATCGCTGGACAATTGGCGGCACAGAGCCTGGCGAGCCCAAGCAGCCCCTGGAGCTGGGACTCGCTTCTCTTGGCGCACCCTCCACCGGCCTGTACCTTCGCGAGGATGTCGACCTGCGCTGCAACCGCCTGATGGCCGGGTTTGTCAAGAAGACGCTCAAGAAGTCGCATGAGGGCGTCGTCGAGAAACTCAAAACCAACCTGTCCAATACGTCGCCGACCTTGGCCAGTGGCAGCGACAGCAGCAAACCCATTGCCAGCGTGCCCGCCATATCCGACGACAAACCACGCCCAGTGTCCATGGCCTCACCATTGCACGCCCAGCGTCCGACTCCATACCGGGTGTATTCGGCAAGTCACCAGCCTCCTGCTCAAAATCAGGCGGCCTTACAGACAGAACCACAGGGACAGACGCAGACCCAGACCCAGACCCAGACCCAGACGCAACAGCAGCCACTCCATCTTCGCCAATATCCGACGCCACAGCAACTGGAGCAATATCAACGACATGAGCAGCAGCAGCGGCAGCAACAACCTCACCGCCAGCACCAGTACACCCAATCGTACTCAAACGTTACCGCAGCCCCGACGCCGGCCCCGTTTCTAGCGCCAGCACCTGCACCTGCACCTGCAGCAGCACCAGTACCGACTCCGGCGCCGTCACAGCTGCCATTTGTGGTCTCTCGCAAGAGCGTCCCTGCTTCCCTTGCCGTGGGCCCGCCCTCCTCCTCACAGCAACTGACGCGTGAGGCACAGCTGCAGAGCCAGCAACAAAACCAGGAGCACCAGCGTTTCCTCCATCCTTTCTTCCCGCAGATGAACGGTGCCACCACAGACGACCACCTACCCGTCGATCCGACGTCTCTGTCATCGTCGCCGCCCTTGTCGGTCTCCACTGTGCCAAAGAGCGCCTCGACAGCGTCTTCGTCAACGGCATCGGCTGCCGACACCGCCGCCTCTACCCCGGCCTCGTCACCAAATTCGTCCTTGCCGTCGAGCCATTCTCCCATGCCATACGATCGCTTCAAAATGAATGCTAGCCCTCTCACCCGCCTGCAGATGCAACTGCCCAAGATTAGCACTGTGAAAGACAACGATGACCCCGGCCGTGGCGGCCTGTATGCTGACAAGGAGCAGCGACACTCGCTGTACCAGCAGCTCCTGCCGCCGCTCGTCTTCAGTGCTCGCGAGGTCGCCACCAGCGAGCCGCGCCGGAGGAGCACCGGGAGCGACGCCACCAGTCTCGCTTTCGGCGGCGGTGCCAGCTCCGTTGCGTCTGGCGCTGCTTCTGACATCCCATTCCACGACCTGAGTCTGTGCCCGCGGCCGCTCCGCATCGGCGGCCAGCGGCGCGTCTCCACAGACCAGATGGTGCCAACACTGCCGACCGCGACACCGGCGCCGACAACGGCTGCTCAGATGCTCGCTCCGCTCCAACTGGCAGAGAAGAGTGCCATTCCTACCCTTCCTACCCTTCCTACCCTTCCTACGGAGACGCATACTCGCCCGGGCCAAACAGTCGACTATCCCGCCATGAACCCCTACGTGTACAACGAGGACGACTACGAAGACGTTTACGTCGACTCGCCCATTCTGGCCTCGGACGCCCGTGGCCCGAACCAGAAGGGGCCCTACTCGCCAACGGTCTTTGCCGATATGGACGCGGGGGCAGCTGCCACGTCCAACGAGGACAAGTCAACACTGTTCGACTGGCAGCAGCGGAGACGCTTCCTTGCCGTTGATCTAGACTAAATCTCAAGGCCGTAATGAATGGTGCTGCTGTCTTTTCCTTGTTTCTTTGTTTCTTTTTTCTTTCTAGTTCTTGTGTTTGGCTTTTCTTTCCGTTCTTTCTCGGTTCTGAGTTTTTTATTTATTCATTTTTATTTTTGGTGTTTGGTGCATCAGCGCGGGGAAAAAGGGTGTTGGCACAATGTGGAATTTGGAAACCTCAATATACCCCGTCCAGGAGGAAAGGCATAGAGACGTAGCATTGTACGAGGTATCTGGAGACACTTGTACGAGGCTCATAAGCAAAGGCTTTTTGGTCCAGTCAGATTCATTCGAGAATTTTATATTGTTTTTGGTTTGGATATTGTAGCAAATGTGTTCATGATGGCCCTATCTCCTTGAGAACCGCTTTACTTCCAAACCCGAATTCTGAAACATAGATCAAAATAAAATCAACGCTGACTAGATAGGTAACAGGCAGCTGTGTACTTGTCAAGCGGCGTGTTTGTTTCTCCGCCTGTCAAACCGGCGACTTGGCCCAATTGTACACGCTAAATTTTCAAGATGAAGCGGGTCAGGGGGACGAAAGAATCATAACCAAGTCGTAGAGGGATGGAGCAGAAGAGTGGCACAAGAATGCAGACACGAAACTTGACATAGAGGAGCCAATCCTTAGAATTTTTGTCTAGATCCTTTTCCACCACCCGCGAATCACCCGCCCACCCTTTCCGTCATCTTCTCGAACCAACTGCTTCCCCTTCCTTTGAAGCAAATGCCCCCTTTCCTTCCCTACGCCCCTTTATATGCTGGATATTTCCGTTAAACGCCACAGAGATATTAAGAGGGAAATGAGATGATGAAAAGATAGAAACCAGCCCTCCAAGTAGGGTAACCGCAAGAAAAAAGAAATAAGAATGAAAGACTTATAAAAACATGTCTATGCGGCCAAAAAAAAAAAAAAAGAAAGAAAGAAAGAAATATAACGAAAGCAGGATAGGTAAACCATGTATATGCAGATCGAATTAAAGGGTGGATGTAAGAAAGCAATGGAACGAAAATTGTTGGCCAGAATTGACAAACTGAAGCTGCTCGTCAGAAACAGCATCGGACGATAGTTGGAGAAACGACGGACGAACGGTCGAGGGTATAATTTGTGTTGAAAAGAAGAGAGATGACGAAAGCAACATGATCGCTATCTCATGAGGTCGTAGGGACGGACGTAAGGTAATGGTTTTTTTTTTTTTTGACAAGAAAAAAAAAAAAAAACACTTATTTGCGGTTCGAGCGGCTCTGGCTCCGTTCGGGCATGCGGTTGCCGCCAATGACGATGGCGTCAAAGTCGTAGTTGCGCAGCGTGTGTTCATACTTGGGGTGGCGCAGGAACTTTGGAACGGAGTCGCTGGCCATCAACTTAAATACAGCGTTCTGCGCGTCCTCGAATAGGGTTGTCACTTCGTGTAGGGTGTCGATCATGGCGGTATCCTGGCCGACGGCCTTGGTCATGCGGGTGGCAAGGTTGTTGCGCAGCTGATGGTCAATGTTGAGCTCGCAGGGCGAACCGGGCGCCAGGAACGCGTTGTAGATACCATACGCCTGAGCCATTATCTCCTTAATGCCATCCATCGACGTCGTACCGGGGCTCTTTTGTGCCAGACGAATCGACTGGCGGCAGCTGCGGACAAAGTCATCAACGTCCAGGTAGAAGGACAGATTCTCCTCGCAGTGGGTCTCACGCAGGTTCTCGCGGAACAGCAGGCGCAGGGCGGCATCGTTGAGGATCTTGTCCAGGCGCTGGGTGTTCGAGTCACGGGCAATGCCAGGCCGTGGGGCGGTCCCGCCGTCACTTTCGGAAGAGCGGCCGCGTGAGATAGTGCCGTTGAACAGGTCGCGGCCTTTGGTCGTCAGCTGGAAGATGGCGTTCTTGGTGGGCTGGAAGAGGTGGGAGCCAGGAACTTGGCTCTGGAAGATGCGGTCGTGCTGGACGGCCTCGATAAGGCCGTACTCAGAAAACAACGAGGCGATCTCGCTGGCCTCACGGCGGTCGACGGTCGTGCAGCAGTCCATAAGCCAATCAACGGCAGCCTTGCCGGAGAAGGTGTCCTTGAACGTCTTGCCCGACACCTTGCGTTCGCTCGCAATCTTGACGCCGGTCATACCGTCACGATAGTCACTGAGAGAGTCGGAGTCGGCAGCGTTGACGCTCTGTTTGACATTAAGGCCATTCACGCCGATGAAGCGGCGGAAGATGACCTCGATTGTGCCGCGGTCGCTCACGAGCTTGTCGGTTTGGCTGTCGCGCTCGAGGATAACGATTTGCGCTGTGGAGTGACCAATCAGCTCGCCGACCTGCTTCTGCTGAATACCGTTGCGCGAGCAGAAACGGTCGAGAATGGAAATGCCTTTTGGCGTCAACTGCCACACGGATCCCTTCATCGTGTAGACTTGCTGGTACTTGCCGTCGGCAGACTCAATAAAGCGGGCCTCGAGGAAGCGTTGGCATATGGAGCGGGCCATGTCCTTGGCCATGGAGAAGGTGGTGGTGGTGGTGGTGGTTACGATGCGGGTCGGGTCTTTGGGGTCGGGCATTCGATTGGACTGTGAGAACTTGAGCGAGCCGAGGTTGTTGATGGCATCTTCGGACAGGAATGTGTGCTCGACCTTGGTAAGGCGAACACGATGCGCCGACAATGGCAGCAAGCTAACAATCAGTGTCGCAAACAAATCTTTAAAGTCCTATAAACGGAGAGGGTTTTTTTTGTCAGCATATGATTAGCTAATTGAGTCCGGGCGGAATCGACAATGAGTCTGTTGCCTACTTTTGTAAACGGCCGGTCGTCGTCGGTCATGCGCAACAGGCGCGAGGATGTTTGATGCATCTTGTTGTCGGTTCTGGGGAGACGGATGGGGAGCGGGAGAGTAGGGTCTGCCTGGTCGTATGGCTTGGCGTAGGACTGAGAGAGCTTGTGCTGGAGATGATCCGAAGGTTTACCGGAAAGCGGTGCCGACTGGGATACGTCGTCACTGCTGGTCGCGGTGAGGACAGTCGGAGGCGGACGGGTTTCGCTCTTGTGGTCGTTGTTTTGACTACCAGACTGCGGTGTAGATGCCGTAGACGCAGATGCGTTGGTTGGCGACCGTTCCAACGAGTAGTAGGTAGGGAACTGAGGAACACCAGATGAATCGGCGCCAACAGAGAGACGGCCGTTCGACTGTCTCGGGCGGATCTTTTGCTCGGCCGTGGATAAGGCAGTTTGGGTCCGGTCAATGGCGGCCGTAGCAAACGCAAGCAGGGAGCCGGAGCGCGGCGACTTTGAGGAAGGACCAGGTTGCACGGAAACGATGGACGGGGAGCTGGAGTGGTGAGGGCGGTATCCCGAAGCAGAAGCTGTGACACCCACGTTTGGGTTGGCTGCGAGAGACGCGATGTCGCTTTCGGCGCCTCTGCTTTCGGGCGCAGTCTGCGGGACGGTGAAGTTGGACGCCGTGGAATAGCGGTACTTGGACGTGAGGTCTCTGTGGGCTTCTCGTTCACTAGCAAACTTGCTCGGCGCAGTATCGCTGATAGTGCTTGTGGTGTTGTCGGTAGAGAGAGGTTCAGAACGGGATGGATGAGACACGGCGGCCATCTATTAAAAGAGAAGGGGGAAGAGGAAGAAACAAGAAGGCGGCAAAGCGTCAGTGAAAGTGGAATTAATGTGAAAAGCAAGGAGAAGGCAAAACGAGCGAGAAGTGAGAGAAACGACAAAGAAGTGTGTGAGAAGGGCGGGACGAAGTGGATGAGGACCAGGGGGAGGCGACGAGGTGGGGTTGACTAGTAAAAGAAAACAAAACAATAATGAATACTGACGAGATGAGGATGAGAAGAAAGACGAAGAAAGGGGAAAGAAGCAGGACCGAAAGGGGGGTGGAACAATGTGGAAGGAAGGCATGGAACGAAAAGGTGGAAAAGAAGGCGGTTTGGGAAGGAAATAGTGCAGCGTAGTCGCGTTCCGTAGCGCCTTCCGCCTGGCAAGGTAATTAGACAGAACCTGGTGCGGCGGCGAGGTCGCGAGGACCACGACAAGACTGTCGTGAGAAAGTGCGAGCGGCTCCAAGCGTCTGGACAGCACTAAGACGCTAGTGAACTAAATCGGGGAGGAATGCGCGCGACGTGGTGGAGAGTCTGCAAGAACCACATTCTGCAACACTGGTTTAAGTTTGACGACGCTGGGTCTGGCAGTTGGCAACGTCTCCGCCATGTGCAGGCGCACATTTGGATCGCAGTGGACGGGGTACGACATAACGCAGAGCGCATTGGGTAAGATAGATACTTTGTACATTTGGGTGCAAATGGTGCAAATGGGGGGTAATGGCCAGTGGGTGAATGGCAAGTGTGGAACAGGTGCATGGCCACCCTTGTACCGTGTGAGGTACTGGTACTTCTGCGTGGCTTTGTGTGCAAATAAAGTCGTGAAAGGGGAAAGCACGCTAGGAAAGAAGCGGCTTGACTAGCTTCGTTTGCCATGGCACTCCAGAAGCAGCAGGGGCAACAAGGCCCCAGGGCCCCAGGGCCCCAGGCCCCCAATGCAAGCACTCTGGCACTGTGAGCGCTGGGCTGTCACCACTAGCGCCGAACGATGCCGAGCCTCTGCGCATGCAGTGCCAATTCCCAGATAATTCCCGGCAACAAACTCTGGAAAGCGACAGCACAATGAGGCACGCTCCACGCTACCAACGCGACCAGCCCAGTCTGGCCAGTTGCCCAGGAAGAAATGGCACCCGGCGAGCAAGTAGAAACAAGGAGGCCTGCCTAGTTCAGACGGTTATGCGTGCATCGCGGGCTGTCGCTCTCTCCGACCGTGTCACCTGGTCACCGCCTTGGCATTCACGATATCAAGGAGAGAACGACAGAATAGCCAGCGTCATCCCGGCTGTGGCGGAATCTCCAAGGCCCACTAAGCCGGAGCAATTTCGTTAGATGTAGAGAAAGGAGGGGAGAGGTCATGTAGTGAAAACCGGCCCCCAACGTTTCAGCATCGTCTGTGAGATGACGGACGCAGGGCAGGTAGGGCTGTGAAGTACTCAAATCCCAGCTTTGTGCCCGACCCGCTGGGTGCAGGAGGAAATGGAAGGGCGACATGGCGACAAGGAACTGGCAATGGAAGGACGGGAAGATGAGAAAAGAAGACAGGCCGACAAGACCGACCAGGAGCGACCTCGTCGAGCGTTATCCAACCGGCCAGGTCACGCTGATGACGGCAGTCCTTGTTAGGCGGCCGGTTGTGGTGTTTGTCGGACGGCCAGCCCGATGGGGTCAAGATGTCTTACGTCGCAACAAAGCTCGTACGAACTGTAGCATTGTGCATCCTGCTGTTTCCATTGACAAATTTTGGCCATTTCTCTTAGGCGCCAGCAACTAGCCGACAGCAAAACCACAATGAACGTCTCAGCGTCGTTGGGGTGGACAAGACGAATCGGAGGAAATCTCGCGCCTGTTTCACGCTGCACATGGCAGCCGAAGTAACGATGCGCGGCAGTGTCCAACGGTGTGTGGCAGTTTTGTGGACATGTGGATAGGACGTGTGCTGGATGTAGATGGTGTTGGTGGAATGGAGGTGGTGTCTGGGAAATGGGTGGTCGTATTACAGCGGTCACACTGTAAAACCGGCACTTGAAAGCACAAAGCAAGTACCCGGTACAGCAGGATACTTGTGCGAGCATGGTGAGTGGAGCGGATGACCTCGTGGAAAACACGGTCTGAGAAGAGCGTGGCCGGCGAGATCTGCGCGTGGCTTTCAGGGATCTGCCTCCCCCGGCCAGGCTGTTTTAGGACAAGTACCCCTGCAGTTCTGCAACCATAACCACAAAATGCAGAAATCGCAGCCAATCCGCACAAAAACACAAAATGCTTCAAACAGTCTCCACCCCCCATGTCCCGCACGCGTGCAGAAATCATTCCGGAGCGGGCGAACAGTGTGAGAGAACAATGGGGCCAAGAAACTGACTAGCAAAATGAGCGAGAGACTCAAAAGCGCTCAGACCAGCCACTGGCTGAATGGTCCGAGACTGCGACTGGAGGCGAAATGCTGAAATGAACAAAAAAAAATTCTGGGGCAAATAGACGCAACAGTATAAGAGCGGCGCAAAATGGTGCAGAATAGGTAAAATATCACGACCCAAAAAATGGGCGAAACAAAAGCGTGCAAAACGAGACACAGAAAACGACGCCCACGATAAAGTCGGTAACCATCTCCGACCTGTCCTAGTATAATGACTCCACTATCGCGGTCGCACGCAAGATCGGGGGATTGAAGCAATCGCCAAATGTGAAAAGAGGTGTTTTGACGCAAGATGCGCCAGATGTGCAAACGGTCGGAATCCCAAAGAAGTAAGGATAATGGACAGAGAGAACGCGAAAAAAGCACATACCTTGACGGTTGGCTGGGGCCCAGTTTGGACACCTTCTTGGGATTGAATTGTACGCCCGGTTTTTGTCGTTCGATGTAGCCCCGCAAGCGGTCTTTTGGAAAGTGGCGACCTAACTTGGCCGTCTTGTAGTGACTGCCGACTCGTGTCTCGCACTGACGACGCGATATGTCGGTGCTACGTCGATCAGTTCGGCTGAGGTTTTGTCTCCGTACGGACAGCGTGTTATATCATGCAGTTGCTTGTAGTTGTCTTCAAGATACGTGACGCCGGTCGAAATGGATGCGAGTCGGCAGGTCGATTCTGACAGGACGACACCAGAAGGCGGAGTGTGCTCCGCAAGTGTGGAAATGTACGACAGTACAAGTCTCCTTTCGTTGGTCTGCAGCAGGAAAGATGCCTGTCAGTACTATTCTTTGCCAGGGCAGCAAACAAAGGTGCCGATGATATGGGATGGTGCAGAGAGTGCAGAAGGATCAAGTGGATTTATGAGGCGTGGTATGCTAACAACTGTCATGAGTTGCATAGGTAAAGACGTGCAGGGATAGAAAGTCGAGTTCTTCATGGACATAAAATGCTCTTTGGGGATAACATGAGAAATCCAGTGGCCCTATCTCCTCACGAAAAGAGGCAGCAAGAAGGTGCAAAAGATGCACCCGTGTCATTAGCGCAGCAGTTGATATGGGTTGACATCCCAGAATACCAAACACCTGCGAGTCTAGGCGTCGAACAAGTGCTCCTTAATACCAGTCAAGGGGACAAATTCCAGCGTTAAAGGCGATGGGCTTGTTCAAGGTAACTTTATCTGGCCGTGGAAACCAACCAAATCGACAAAGGAGATCTGCAGGCGAACAATGCGATGAGGGCGGGACGAGATTGGGGGAAAGGCCAAATCAAAGCAACCGTGTCCCCGCGTGGTTTCCAGAACACCAAAGGAAGGGTAACCATACATCGTAAGAAAGCAAAACACAGAGGAGGAGGATAATCTAGAACGGCACGGGAAGGGATGTGTGCCTGAACAAGATGATATGATGGGAAGGGAAGGGCGGCTCGCGCACGAACGTGCGGATTCTGGAAAGAAAAACAGACTCACTGAGAAACAGACGGCACACGAAAAACGCGGCACTCCGACCGAGCAACGAGTAGCGAGCACAGAACGACGATTGAAATCGTCGACCACGATCCCAACAGATTGCTCTACGATCCCTGGTTTCTCGATGTTTGGCGTTTCGTGACAGGCGAGGGGCGAGATCTTGGGAGCTGAGGTATAGAGTAATCGATCCGCTTGGAGAGCTTAGCCACCAAGGCTGCGAGCAGTGACCTGTGAGTTGCAACACAATCCGCAAAACTGTCCCAGTGAAACGGCGAGGCAAAAACGACAGCGGCGGGGCAAGTCCAGCTGCTAGTGCACGCACGGAGCAAGGATGCGCGACAAGGAAGGGTCGAGATGTGGTCCGTACACGAACTAAGGTTTGATTCTCTTTCGCGTTTCGCGCGTTTCGTTGCTCTCTGCTCTTTTCCCTGTCTTTCTTCTTTCTAATTTAGTCGCCTGGCTCTGGTGTGCGAACAAGCAAGCCCGGGTCGAAATTTGCGAAAAGCAGCGATGTTCGATTGGACGTGGATGTACCTTCGAAGCTCGTTCAGACACCTCGACGGATCAAATGTGCAGTTTGCCAGTTGAATCGACGGCGTACGACGTCGCGCAGAACTTTGGGCCTGAAACAGAGAGGAAGAGCGAGACGAGCGACGTGGAAGCGATATATGGGGGAAAGGGCGCTGCAAATAACGACTCCAGTCGCTTGTGAGACTCGTCGTTGGCGATGGGATTTGGATCGGTAATTGAATTGATTTGTGCGTGCTTGTGGAGGAGGTCGAGGGGCAGCAGCGGGGGCAATTTTGGAGGGCTGTGAATGAAAAAAGGGAAAACGGTTTTGGGATGTCGTGTTTCCGAAGACCAGCAAATCGCTGGAAATGAGCTGAAAAAAACAGATAAGGGGTCCACGGGACGGTCCTCTGGTCGAGAGATCGCCAGGCACCAACCACTATTCGGGATGGCGAAGAATATGGTCGGGAGAAAATATGCGATTCAAATCCGTGAGCGTCGGCGAAAGATGGAGGCAATGGGCGAGAGAAGAACGAGAAAAGCAAAATAGAAACAGAAGCAAGTTTCGCGGCGGGCGGATTGGTATTTTAGAGAATTTTGAAAAACACGAATCCGAAG